TCTCAAAACAAGATACAAACAAAAGGGTGGGGGCATAAGTCAAGAGTTAGAGCTGGTTGCCCAACATGTATGAAGCCTGGGATCAATCTCAGTATGAAAGGAAGGGAGGGAGGGAGGAAGGGAGGAAGGAAGGAAGGAAGAGGGTAAAGAAGAAAAGAAAAAGGGAGACAGAACAATTTTGATAAGGGTCTGGATGTGGGAAGTGAGGGAGGTAATCATAGGGTTTTTAGAAGTGATAAGGCAAAATAATAGTCCCACCAATTCTAAGAACAGAATGAGGGTGTATGCTGTTTGTTTGTTTGTTTTACAGTACTAGGGTTTGAATTCAGTGCTTCATGCTTTTGAAGTAGGTGCTCTACCACTAGAGCCATTCCACCAGCCCTCAGAATGAGGGGTGAATAAGAAGGGAAATAATGATATTCAGGTTGGGACAAATTGTTTTTAATGAGCTGGCAGGACATTCATGTGTCAAAATAAAGCAGTTCAAAATTTAGGCCTGCACGTGATGATTTCCAACTCTGTATGTATTAATGATACACAGAATGCCTTGAACTACACATACAAATCATAAATATTACATTGACTGACCATGAGTATGGATAAGAGCTCCCCTCAGTGTGGAGTAAAAAGAAATGAAGATAGGCCTGGAGAACTCTTTCATTGAAGGATGGTCAAAAAAAGGAAGGCCAGCAAAGAAAACCAAGGAAGAGTAGTAGTAAGAGAGTTGTGTTATGAAGCCAAGAGAGAAAAAATTTTCAAGAAGAAAAAGGTAATCAACAATTCTATCTCAGTCCATTTTTTGCTGTTATAACAGAATACCACAATCTAGGTAATTTATAATGACAGAAATTTATTAGCTTATGGTTATGAAGGCTAGGAAGTCCAAGATTAACAGGCCAACTTTTGTTGAGGGGCATTCTTGCTGCATCATTCATGGCAAAAGGGCAAAGAAAGGATGTGGAAGGTTCTTGTCTTTTTATAAAGAACCTACTTCTGTTATAAGGGCATTAATCCATTTGTGAGAGATCCTTTCTTAAACCCTGCCTCCCAGCACTGCCACACTGTGAATAAAATTTCTTGCTCATTAACTTTAGGAGACACATTTAAACCATGTCATTCCTACCCTAGCCCCTCAAATTCATATATTTCTTGCATGCAAAATACATTTACTCTATATCAATAGCTCAAAATCATAACTTGTTCCAGCACCAACTCAAAAAGCCTAGAATCCAGAGACTTGTCTAAATCAGAGATGGGTGAGACTCAAGGCATGATTCATCCTGAGGCAAATTCCCTTCTAGCTGTGAGCCTGTAAAATCAAACAGTTTATCTATTTTTCTCTCTCTCTTTTTTTTAATTGTTGTGCTGGGTGAGGGTATGTTGTGGCATTTACAAAATTCTTACAGTGTATCAAATATATCATACTTGAATTCACCCTCTTCATCTCTCACCTTTATCCCCCCTCCCAAAAATCAACTCAGTGTTTGTATGACTTATGGTAGTTTTGGGGTTTTTTGCTTTTTTGGGGTTTTTTTGGTGATGTGCTACTGGGGTTTGAACTCAGGGCTTCACATTTGCTAGACAGGCACTCAACCACTTGAGTCATGCCCCCCAGCCCTATCTACTTTCAAAATACAGTAGTAAGAGCCTGGCATGGTAACACACACTTGTAATGCCATCACTTGGGAGGAGGAGGCAGAATGATCTTGAGTTCAAAACCAGCCTGAGCTATCTAGAGAACTGGAGGGCAGCCTGAGCTGCATAAAGAGACTCTCAAAAAGTCAAAATAAGCCTGTAATACTAGCTACTTGGGAGGCTGAGATCAGGAGGATAGAGGTTGGAGACCACCCCAGACAAATAGTTTGTGAGACTCCCCCCCCAAAAAAAAATAAGCAGAGCAAAATGGACTGGAGGTATGGCTTTGCAACCATGAAGTCCTGAGTTCAAACCCCAGTTTCACACACACACACACACACAAAAACTTAAACGAACAAACAAAAATGATGAGACAGGCATAGGATAGACATTCATTTTCATCCCAAAATATAGCAACAAGAAAGTCCAAAAATTGAAAGAATGAACATTAAATCTTAATCTCCAGAATAATCTTTTTGATTTTATATGCTGCCTTCTGGATATACTGTTCAGGGGCCAGGCTCCCCAAGTCCTAAGGAAGCTCTGCCTCGGCTTTGCTGGGCTCACCTGTACAATTGCTCTCATGGGTCTCATGCCTGCAACTCTCCCAGGCTATTGTTGCACACTGTTAGCTCTTGGGATCTCAAGGCAATCCCACCCGGGTTTCTGCCTGTTTTGCCTGTTCTGCCTGGACAACCAGGCTATCTGATGCATCCTTTTTTTTTTTTTTTCTTTGCTGTACTGAGGCTTGAACTCAGGACCTATCCCTTGAGCCACTCCACCAGCACTTTTTTTTGTGATTTTTTTTTTCAAGATAGGGTCTCCCAGACTATTTTCCTGGGCTGACTTCCAACCAGAATCCTCTTGATATCTGCCTCCTGAGTAACTAAGATTACAGGCGTGAGCCACTGGCACCCGGTTTGATGCATCCTTTGAAACCCTAGGTGGAGGCTGCCATGATCCCATGCTTAAGCATGCTATACTCCTGTAGAATTAGCATCACAGGAATGCTGCCAAGTCTTACTGCTTGTGATTGCTGATGCAGCAGCCAGAACTGCACCCTGACCACTTGAGCCACAGCTGAAGCAGCCAAGGAAAAATGCACTGGTATACAGGGAGCAGAATCTTGAGGCAGCTCTGGGCAGTGAGCCCATGGAGGGCACCCAGAACCCATCACCTAAAACTTTGGCCTTGTTATGAGAGGAGCAGCTTCAAAGATCTCTGAAATGCCTTTGTAGTCATTCTCCCAGTGTCTTTTTTTTTTTTTTTCAGTACTGGGGCTTGAACTCAGGGCCTATACCTTGAGCCACTCCACCAGCCATTTCTTGACCCTTTTCAAGATAGGGTCTTTTGAGTTCTGCAGTCTCACAGAACTGTTTGTCCAGGCTGGCTTCAAATCGGGATCCTCCTGATCTCTGCCTCCTGAGTAGCTAGGATTATAGGCGTGAGCCACCAGCTCCCAGCTCTGCCAGTGTCTTTAGGAATCACAGCTGCTTTCCTTCTATCCATATTAATCTCCTTATCAAATGGTCAGGTTGGCCTACATAGTCCTTACATAGCCAAAGAATAAAAGAAAAATTGCCAAATTTCTATGTGTTCTTTTAGTTATAAATTTCATTCTTAAACTGTTTCTCTTCTTTCTCATTTTACAGTAATACAGTTAAAAACAATGACATATAGTTCCTTCAATATTTTGCTTAGAAATTTCTTCTACTGGATAACTAAGTTCATCATTCTCTATTTCTACCTTCTATAAAGCCCTAGAACATGGACATGATTCAGCCAAATTACTTGCCACTTTGTAACAAGGACGGCCTTTATTCCAGTTTCTAGTATATATTCTTTATTTCCATCTGATACCTCATAAGAATTGCTTTTCATCCATATTTCTACCACTTTCTGATCATGTCCACTTAATTCATCTCTAAGAAGTGTCAGTTTTTCTCTATAGATTATCTCTGCTCTTCTGAACCCTCAATAGAACTTCCTTTGACACTCTGTTCATAGAAATCTAGGCTTTTTTTTTTTTAACCTGCTCTTCCAAATTCTTCTCACCTTTATCCATTACCCAGTTTTGAAGCCACTCCCACATTATCAGACATTTGCTATAGCAACATCTCACTCTCCTCATCAATTTTCTTAGTCCATTTTGTACTGCTATAACAGAATAACACAAACTGGATAATTTATAATGAAGATAAATGTTCTAGTTCATGGTTGTGGAGACTGGGAAGTCAGGATCACAGGGTTAGCAACTGGTAAGGACCTTCTCACTGCATCATCCTATGGTGGCAGACAAAGAGATGGCAAGGAGAAGGCAGGTACTATGAACTTATCCTTTTATAAGAAACCACTTCTAAGACAATGACATTAATTCACTCATAAAGGATTTGATCCCCATAACCCAAACACCTCCTATTAGAGCCCCACCTCCCAACAATACTATATTGGGAGCCAAGGACAGTGACCAAAGTTACAGTGTGTGTGTGTCTGTATGTGGTACTGTGCATCAAACCCAGGCCTTGCTAAGTGCTCTACCACTTGAACTACACCCCCAGCCCTTTTATTTGTATTTTGCTTTTGAGACAGTGTCTCACTACTTTTGACCCGGCTGGCCTCAAATTCTTTTTTCTTTTTTTTGGTGGTACTGGGGTTTGAACTCAGGGCCTCATGCTTGCTAGGCAGGTGCTCTACCCCTTAAACCAGTCTGCCAATCCTAACCTCGAATTCTTGATTCTCTTGCCTCATTATTCAAGTAACTGGGATTTCAGGTGTGCACCATCACGCTTGGCTGGGAGGATCACTTTGAGCCCACCAGTTTCAGACCAGCCTAGGACCTCATCTAAAAATAAATAAATAATACAAGTTGGCTACCCATGGCTCATTCCTATAATCCTAGTTACTCAGGATGCAGGGATCAGGAGGATTGTAATTTGAAGCCAACTCCAGGTAAATAGTTTGCAAGACCCTATCTCAGAAAAACCTATCACAAAAAAAAAAAAAAAGGACTGGCAGAGTAGCTCAAGTGGTAAGTGGGAGGCCCAGTACCACCAAAAAAAAAAAAGGCGGGAGTGTGGCTCGAGTGGTAGAGCACCTGCCTAATAAGAATAAGGCTCTGAGTTTAATCCCCAGTACCGCCCCCTCCAAAAAAAAAAAACTACCACATTGGGAATCAAAGTCCAACACATGAACTTTAGGAGACACATTCCATACCAAATGTGCTACAGAGAGTTCAAGCATGGTGCGAATAGAGATGTTAGGCGAACGTGATAACCACTACACTACGGAAACGCATGCGAATAGAGATGTAATTGGTAGAATTGACACATAAAAGGCCACAATGACAGGGGTTTTTGTGTCCACAGGCCTCTCCAACATCAACCAGACTCGTCTTGATTTCTACTTCTCTGATGGAAATGCTGGTGGTATGCAGGTCCAACAGGCCAGCCTCATGTTCTTTGTACAACTTCCTCCCAATACCACTTGGACTATGAATGTGAAGGTCCTTGTGCTAAGACCACATGACACCAACATCACCTTGGTTACACACCTGTTGGAAGTGAATGCTGGTGGCTGGCACCAGCTCTTCCTGGGGCCTGAAGCTCAGGCTGCCTGCAGCCAGGGGCATCTTACCCTGGAGCTGATACCTGAAGGCCAGGTAGGCCAGCGTTCAGTCATCCTGGGTGGGGCTGCCCATAGGCCTTTTGTGGCAGTCCGGGTAAGAGTCGGGGGCAGGCACCGGGTTCGTCGACGAGGCATCGACTGCCAGGGAGGGTCCAGGATGTGCTGTCGACAAGAGTTCTTTGTAGACTTCCGTGAGATTGGCTGGCACGACTGGATCATCCAACCTGAGGGCTATGCAATGAACTTCTGCACAGGGCAGTGCCCACTACACGTGGCAGGAATGCCTGGCATTGCAGCATCCTTTCACACTGCAGTGCTTAATCTACTCAAAGCCAACACAGCTGCTGGCACTGCCGGAGGGGGTTCATGCTGTGTGCCCACAGCCCGGCGTCCCCTGTCTCTACTCTACTATGACAGGGACAGCAATATTGTCAAAACCGACATACCAGACATGGTGGTAGAGGCTTGTGGTTGTAGTTAATTTATGTGTGGCACAGATAGCCCAAGATAGGATAAGCTAATGTCCCCTCATAGAGGTGCCCCTCCTCAAGAGAACAGAATGACACCATTTTTGTCATATATAGTCTGTATAGACTGTCGACTCCCTCTCCCTGAGCAACCTATGAAAATTATCCCACCTTTGACTTGAGGAGATCTACATCTAAAGAAAGTCACTGTGCCATCTTCATGACCATCAGCCCCTCTCCTAGAGCATGCCCCTCATGCTCAATCCCTATTCTAGGGGCCTGATCCACCTTCAGCCACGATCAACGCCACCTGGTTCCCAGGGAAGACACCTTTAGTTCCATAATTTACTCTGTCTCCCTGCCCTTTTCATCTGGCAGTCCCCACTCCAGGATGAGTTGACCTAGCCCCTTCCCTTGGTTTATCTGAATCTCCAGAGAGCCCCTTCCTTGGACTACCGAAGATTAGATTATTGTTTTCCAAAGTGAAGCCCTCCCCTTGCCCATCCCCTGTGTTTCTTTACTCTATTCTGTGCCCTGGGGGGCTGACTCAACTGACCCTCATCACCTGAGTTCCCCTGCCCTTTGGCTCCCTATTAGGTTTGACTAACAGAAACCCAAGCAGGAGACCAAAGGATAGGATGATACAGAGATAAGAATATATTCTATTCCTGCTCTCCATTTGTCCACGTGCCATGATTCTGTGTAACTGTAGGCTGTGTAACATAGGCTGTGCCCTTTAGCTCCTGTCTGGCTACCATTTTCTGTGGCTTCAGCTGTGCCTAGGTTCTGTCATCACCAGGGGTCCTAATGGCTTTCCCCTTTTCTAGTCCCTAGTGCTTCAGTATCCCTCTTGGTTCCCTTAACCTTGTGTATACCTTGATAACTGGCGGGGAGGGTCCTCTGTCACCTCATAGGACCCTAACAGATACTCCAAATTACTGGAGCCTGTTCATTCTGTTCTTTCTTCATATGGACTCCTCAGGGCTGAGCTATTGTATCCATCTTATCCTTCATGCACCTTCTCCTGGGACAACCACTTCTTCTTCCTTAGGCTCTCTTCATCCTCCCAGAACCAGCTTTCATGGTCTCGTGGTTAATAAAGAACTAGGTTTTGCCTGCTTCTCGCCTCCTCTGTACTCACTCCAAGAGATGATACAAATTGACGATCAATCATCAAGTGAGCCAACACTCTGTGGGCACACACATGATAGAGGCATGCTCTGAGATGGTGCCAAGACCTCTGGCTTGCCTTCATTTCATCTACTCTCAAGGCTCCATCCAAGAGTCCTGCTTGGAAGCTTGAGCGGGACAGGGTAAAGGGGAAGCCCTGGAATAAGGAGAGAGTAGCATTTACTCTGAGAACAGGTTCTTTTTAAACCTTTGCCCTTTCCCCACCATCTCCTCCCTTTCACTGGACAACCCTGAACCATGGGATCAATATTGTCTGCAGCCCAAGGCCGAGTTTGCGCAAAGCCCATGTGTCCTTTGGGGAACGTGATGTCTGTGTTTGCTCAGCTTATAACCCCCTCCTACCAGGATAAGAGGTCTCTGGAATGGGAATGCTAGAGGAGAAAGTCTGAAAGGGACTTCCTGGGGGAGTGCAAGCCTGAGCTATAGGGCTTCCTAAGAACCCATGGAAGGCATCCCAACACATGAGAAGACCTTCATCTAAGGAGGTCTTTTGGTGTCTCTCCCACTTCTTTCTGCTAGTGTCCCCCACCTTCACACCATTCCCAGATCTAACCTCCTTCCTTCCAACTACAGCTTCTGTCCCTAGGACCAAAACTGGGATAAGGCAAAAGCTGTGGGCAAAATTTTAAGGAGAAGGCAAAAAAATTTTTCATAAATCAAGATAAGTAATATTTTAATGAAGTAATTTAACAAAAATAATGCAAAATATCCATGATGAGCAAAACAGATTTTTAAATAAACACAGGATCCATATATTCCATTTCTTTTTTTTTGCCTCTGCTGTTTGAAAAAAGGAAAAGAGTGAGTTTGTCTTCTTGCAGACATTTTCTTCAGCCTCCTAGCCCCTATCTCTAGACTCCTTCAGGCCATTCTCACTTGGGCAAGATAAGCACTCCTGCTTCTTTTATTTCCTTACCCACTCCCAAGCCTGCCACTTACCCCCACCACCAGCCACCAGCCCCAAACCAGGTTGGTGGTAGGGCGGGCAGTGAGGCAGATGGCTGGGGTATTTATAACCTAGGAGCACTTCTTGGGAAAAGTGACTAAGATGCTAAGGGCATATTTATAGCTAAGTTCTGACGTAAGTGTCAGTGGGGAGATAGGGCCAGCCCAGGCACAGCAGCAAGGGGGTGGGAAATGCTGGAAATTGGGGACACCTGACAGAGAGGATGAGGAGAGGTGGAGTCAGCAACTCCCACAGCTGCTGCTTGTTTCTTCTCCTGACTCAGTCTCCTGGCACCAACAGGTAAGCCCTCCTAGGCACCACCATGGGCAGACACCTCCACTTTGTGGTCTCATAAGGTCCAGACCCTGTGGGCTAGAGGGCCATCACTCACCTGCAGTGAGAACAGAGGAGAAGCTGAGAGCTAGGGTGAACACTGGCCAGAGGGCTTGAATATGTTTCAGGACTTGAGGAGAAATGCAGGGTAGACAGGAGCATCCACTAACCTCAATATCTCTCCTTCTTCCTCTCTACCATATGGTGCCCTGAGTTTCTAGGAAAAGCCTGGCACCCATTGTGGAACTCTTTTGCCACGTGTCAGTGTGATGAGGTCCAAAGCAAAGGCAGCAGTGATGTGGTCTTGGGAAAAGCCTCTGCTCTCTGGCAGTGGTGAGGGGAAAGAGCAGAGGAACTGGCTCTTCCGTTACATCTTTGGGACGACAAGGTTCCCAGAGTGAGAAGGTAGGCACACATCCCATCTTGTTACTCTCCAAGTAGCCCCTTCCCTGTCCCTAGGATGGCTGGTCAGCTATAAACTAGCTACTGTCCAGTAGCACGGCACTGCCACATGGTGGACACTGGTGGTACTGAGACCCAGCTCTCAAAGACCAGCCCCTCTAGCACTCTATGGACAGCCTGATCACCTAAATAGCAGGGAGATGAAGTGGAGTAGGGACACCCTTCCAAATCACATTCCTTCTGCCACTGCTTCCTCCCTTCCACCTTGCCCAGCTCTTTGAAGAAACAGGCCTAAGCAGAAAAGCTAGCCTGAGGCCCATCTTTTTATGTTCAGGATAGAGGGGTTTGCCCACTACCATTGAAAGTCATAGACCTGTAATCCTAGCTACTGAGGAGGCTGAGGCAGGAGGATTGCTTCTTGCGTCTGGGCAACATAGAGAAACCTCATCACTAAATAAATAAGTAAATAAGCAAACCAGTCAGCCAGGGAAGGAGTGCAATAAGGAGGGCTGGGATTGAAAACTAAGGTCACTGTACTTCCTTGCTTTGTTCTCAAAATCCCTTAAGCCTCCCATTTCCCAACACCATTAAGAGAGTGTTGGCACCACTTCTAGTATGCCTCAAATTTAGGCAATTCTTACAGTGCCCTGAAAGAGAAACAGCTGCTGGGTACAGACCTTCCCAAGTCTCATGCCCTTCTGCCAGCCTTGATGGACTCTGCCCTGCTGTAAGATTGCATCATTACCACCCCCACCACTCTGGGTTTCCCCAGACATCACAGAAGCACGTCCACCACTCTTGCTCTGGCCCTCGTCCACGTTGTGCTCCAGTCCAATTGGACTCTGGGCAGCCAGCACAGTCAGGGTCAAGGTGTGACTTCTGTGTCTCGTGGCATTGCCACCTTGGCCTGAGCAAGAGGACTCCATTTTCTTACTCCCCCCCACACCAACCACTCATTCCTGTTCCAGTGCTTAGAAACAGAAACAAGAATTCCCCTTCTGGCCCATAAACCTCCGAAAAATAACGGCTGGAACCCACAGCTGCCTCATGGAAACTGCTGCAGCAGTGGTGGGCAAGCCAGGAAGACTACACATATGGGGAGAACTGCCCTTCCCCACCTGGCTCATATGGCGTCCCTCCTCTGAGTTCCAGACCTTGGGAAATGAGCATGTGAAATCATCCTCTTTCTTGCATCATGCATGTCCACATTGCCCCCCCACCCCCATGCCCCTACCTCAAGCCACCACAGTGAGATGGTGAAACCCGAGCCCCAGGGGCCTGATGGGCAGCACAGTTGGCCAATCCTAAGGCTTAGAGGGTAGGTCCGCTGGCTGAACACTAGGTGTAGGAGCCCCAGGCAGCTGGCTCTAAAGAGGCCCGGGTCAGTAGCCAATCATGAACTGTGAGGGTCAATATAGCTACCCATCGGCTGATCTACTTTCAGCCTTCCTGAGTCCTAGGCCATAGAAGACAAGTGGCCCTAGCCTTAGTCAAAGGTAGCTGTGGCTCTGGTGTCTACTGCTGCTGCCCTCATTGGCTCACACGACATCAGACTCCATAGACAAGCAAGTTCCATCTGAGGCTCCTGACTCAGGGCACCCACTGGGAGCATGAAGCTCCCTGACATAGAACTCCGGCTAGTGCTGCTGTGGGCACTGGTTTGGGCACAGGGTGCAGAATCTGCATGTTCCACCTGTGGGGGCCCAACAGTGGCACCCCAAGCAGAACGAGCTCTGGTCCTAGAGCTGGCCAAGCAGCAAATCCTGAAGGGGCTGCACCTCACCAGCCGTCCCAAAATAACTCATCCTCCACCCCAGGCAGCACTGACCAGAGCCCTCCGGAGATTACAACCAGGCAGTGTGGCTCCAGGGAACAGGGAAGAGGTCATCAGCTTTGCTACCATCACAGGTGGGTATGGAGAGAGACAGGCAGCCAGCAGACAAGAAAAGGAGGAAGAAGGGGGCCCAACAGAGAGGCAGAGGGAGTGGGGTGTGGCAGGAGAAGGAGGAGCTGGGAACAAGAATGGTTGTGAGGATGCAAAGAGGTCCCTGCTTTTTCTAAAAGTGAGTGTGATGTAGTCTTGGGGGAGTTGCAGAGGGGAGCTTTATCTCTGTTCACCTTTCTTTCCTTTCTCTCTTTTGGGCAGACTCCTCCACTTCAACCTGCAGCTCCATGCTCACCTTCCACCTGTCCACTCTTCGGTCCCACCACCTGTATCAAGCCCGCCTCTGGCTACACATGCTCCCCACCCTTCCTGGCACTCTCTACCTGAGAATCTTCCGCCGGGACCCAAGGAGGAGGGGCCGAGGGTCCCGCACCCTCCTAGCTGAGCACCAAGTGACTACCTCGGGCTGGCATGCCCTGACTCTGCCCTCTAGTGGCTTGACGGGTGAAGAATCCAGCATCCTGAAACTCCAGTTGGACTGCAGACCTCTACAAGGCAACAGCACAGTTGCTGGACTACGGAGGCGGCTCCTGTACACAGCAGGACAGCAGCGACCCTTCCTGGAGCTTAAGATTGGAGCCAATAGGCCTGGAGTAGGCCGGAGCAGGAGGAGGACCCCCACCTGTGAGCCTGACAACCCCTTATGTTGTAGGCGAGACCATTATGTAGACTTTCAGGACCTGGGATGGCGGGACTGGATCCTGCAGCCTGAGGGTTACCAGCTGAATTACTGCAGTGGGCAGTGTCCTCCCCACCTGGCTGGCAGCCCAGGTATTGCTGCCTCCTTCCATTCTGCTGTCTTTAGCCTCCTCAAAGCCAACAATCCTTGGCCCACAGGAACCTCCTGCTGTGTCCCCACTGCCCGAAGGCCTCTCTCACTTCTCTACCTCGACCATAATGGCAATGTGGTCAAGACAGATGTGCCAGATATGGTGGTAGAGGCCTGTGGCTGCAGCTAGCAAGAGCACCTAGGAGTTCAGAGTGAAGAGATCAAGTTGGGGGTTCCAGGCAAGGGAAATCTGTGTCTGGAGGCATCAGATTTCCTGATCCATAACCCACTCAACAGACCACCTGGCAGTCTGATTGGGATTCATTCTCCCATAGGACTCAAATGGGCATGTTCTTATCCCAGATTCTGACCTGTTTCAGTCTGGTTGGCGTATGGGGAGATGGGTAAAGTGTTTCCTCTACAGGGAACAGCTTGATTTCCTACCCTTAGCCCAGACAGGGTCTGGCCAAGGAGGGAGGGAAGGAGAAGGCAGAGAAAAACTACTGAATCTCTCCCAAGAAGAGAAAGCCTTCTAGTAAGGGAAAAAGGCAGCAGAGGACCCAACAGGTTTGGGACAAGGCAAACAGGCTGGCCAAAGGTAGGGACTATTGAGTGCTCTGAGGGAGGGACAAAAGGGAGAGGGGCAAGGTTCTGAGGGAGAGTGTTTAGGACAGCCCCAGAAAAGGGATACTAAGCTGAAGTTCTCTGGTTTTCCCTGGGAGACAGGACCCACTGGGAAGACATCAGTTACACTTTGCTAATAAAAACGGGAAAGAAAGCCAACATTGTGAGTCATGAAGAATCATGTGATGATGGTCTATAGCAATAGTTTTCAAAATGTGGTCTGGGGACCTCTGGGAGGTTCCTGAGGCCCTTTCAGAGGCTTCCACAAGGTCAAACTACTTTCATAACAATACTAAGATGTTATTTGCCTCTTTTGTTCTCATTATCTCAAAAAATTGTACAGTGGAGTTTTCCAGAGTGTAACATGTGATTACATCATCTTTCTGACATCATTGTTAATGGAATGTGAGCTTGTGTATTTTTTTTTTTTTGAGACAGAATCTTGCTATGTATCCCAGACTGGCCTCAAACTCTCAATCCTCCTGCCTCAACTTACCCAGTGCTGGGATCAAAGGTGTTCACCGCCACACCTGGTTTTGTGTATTCTTACATTGTCATTTTTTAATTTCTAGTTTTAATTTCTAATATAAGTCGCTCACAAAAAGAGGTCAATCATTTTTCTTCAAAATTAAGGAAGGTGTAGAAGGATCTTGAAATTAAAAAGAATCACTGATCTATAATGTTTTCTAAAAGGGTATCTCTGAAGAAGGGGCTGAGACCAAAGCATATATGACTTCCCCACTTTTTTTTTTCTTTTTTAGTGGAACTGGGGTTTGAACTCAAGGTTTCCCACTTGTAAAGCAGGCACTCTACCACATAAGCCACACCTCCAGCCTGTTTTACCCTGGTTAGTTTAGATATGGGGGAGGGAAGTCTCTCAAACTATTTCCCTTGGGCTGGCCTCAAACTATGATCCTCCTGATCTCAGACTCCCAAGAAACTAGGATTACAGGCATGAGCCACTGGGGCCCAGCTAGGAATCTTTTTCAGTGGCCATAGGTCTGGGCTGACTGAACTGAGTCCCTGACCTTCTGGGTGTAACTAGTCTGGGTTGGTCATGTGGGGAGGCAGGCTCAGGTAGGTATCCTGCCTACAGTTACTACCAGTATTTGTAGGGCCTCCGACCTGTACCTCACTTCACATTTTCCTTTCTTTCTTAACCCTGATCGAACAGTTAACTTACTGACCTTCCAGGTCCAAGGAGGTAGTCCTCCCAAGCAAAGCTAGGATGTGGGGGTTTGTCTGAGGGGTGCAGAAAGGCAAAGGGACTCATTTTTCCCACCATGTTTTCTCCTCTTTCTCAGAAAGGTCAGAGACTGAAATAGCTGCCCCCTACCCTGCATCCAGTCACCATGGCAACAAAAATCCAAAAGGACCGGGCACTGCTTTGTCAGACACTACTGGTCATTACCAGCAGCTTCTGCCGGTGTGCCCACCCGTTTCTTTGGGCTCACACATCTTATTCCCCGGGTTCCTAAAAAGAGTTGAGTGGCAGTGTGTGTGTGTGCGGGGAGGGATTGCCAATGCTTCTTCAGTTCTGCCTCTTACAAGCTTTGAATCGGACTCCGAGGCGTTGTCATGTGTCAGGATAGCCAGCAGAGGGAGCAGAAAGCCTTAGAGAGGAGAAGTCGGCAGCCGAGCGAGGTGCCGAGGTGACCGCAGTTTCCAGAACTTGGAGGTGGAGAGCCGAAAGGTTCTTTAGAACCAGAGCATCTTAGTGACCTTGTGAACACAGCGTACACTGGGCTCAGTCACTGCTCCTCTCTTTTATGTCCTGTACACCCCTAACCTTCCGCCACAGCCGCCAAACCCTCAACTCAGTTTGTCCAAATCCCAACTCTGTCCCAACTTTTCTCCAAGTTCCATCCAAGGGTGAGGTTGACAGATAAACAACAGGGTGGTGGAATATTCAGTTAGGGAGGGAAATAGGAGGGAGGCGAGGGGCGAGCGGGAAGAGCGGCGGCGCGCCAGCAGCTAGAGCGAGAAAAAGTTTTTGCAAAAGGAAAAAAAAAAGTTTGCGCTTCTCGCGGGTGGTCCCGGCTTGCGGCCCGGCGGGCTGGGCCGGCGGGAGGGCTGGGGGCCAGGTTGGGGAGGGGCGGGGTGGCACTGAGGCTGCGCTGCTGTAGCCCTGTTGTCCTCCCCCCTCCCCACCGCACACCCCCCAGCCCAGTCTCCAGCCCTGGACCGCGCATCCCGAGCCCTGCGCCCAGACGGAGGTGAGAAGGCGGGGGGGGGGGGGGCAGGAAGGGGACCACCTGGAAGCGGTGGGGGAAGGGGCCGGAGGGGATGCTCTGTTGCCTAGGGACTCATCCCAGCCTCAAGAGTGACCTGGGACGCAGAGGCAAAATGGGGTGGGAGAACTCGAGTGAGATATTAGAAAGTTTGGAAATTTTTTTTACTTGTGTCTTCTTTTCTCTGTATGTCCTCTTTTTTCTTCTGACAGTCTGGGTGTCTGTCTCAGGCAACCGTGGGTCTCTTTGTCTGTCTCCGCCTCTCCCACATACTAGAAACATCTTCCTTTCTGGAAGTTGGGATGAAGAGGCTGTTGGGATGGCCAGCTGGAGGTCTGCGTTGTAGAGAGGGAACTTCAGGTGCGTCTCTGAGCGCGGGGCAGGAAGACGTCAGTGTTTCTGAGAGGAGGGAGATATAGGTGGAGTGGGGTGGGGATACGGTGGTATGTGAGGCAACAAAACTGGAGGCCTGCTGGACTTGGACCCCTGACCTATCTTGTGACAGATGTGCCTATGGATAATTGTGTTGGGGGGGGGAGGAGTGCCTTCGGGACCGGGGAGGGGGCTGGAGGGATTGTCCACGGTCTAGTCTAGGCCTTAAAAAAAAAACCCTAGGAATTTTGGACGCCTGAGTTCCAAGGACTGTGGGCAGGGCAGAGCTGGAAAGACCTTGTCTTGACCCTCTGACCTCAGGACCACCGGGGCAGGTCCAGTCAGCCTCTGGGAGACCCCTACTGGGGCTGGGCGGGACCACTAGCCACTGCCAGCCAGTGTATCCCCGTTGGCCCCACGCCTAAACGGGAGCTGGGGAGCGAGGCCCCTCCTCTAGCTCAGACCACCCTGCATGCCCTTGCTCCCCGCTCTGAATCCTTTTTCAGGCCCCATGACCCCAAAACAATCAGCTCAGGGAAGCTAGCTTTGGGGACAGGATTAGGGAAAGGGGACCCCATAGAGATTGAGGGTCTTAAGGGGCTGGAGAACTGGGGTCTTTTGGGGATGAATTTTTTCCTTCCTATAGAGGGAGAAGGATGGGCTGAGGAAGAAGTGCCGGAATGAGGGTGGTTTTCCCTAGGGGGCGGGTCCAGAGACCCCCCTCCCCATTATCTCCACGGCATCCCCGCCAGGCGACTCAGACCCCGCCCTTGACGTCACTAGGGGGTTCCCGGGGGTCTGTAGGGGTTAACCCTTAGGAAGCCGGCTGAGATACTCAGGATCTTAAGGTGTCCTTCTCCCCATACTCAGTCACTTTCTCTTCCTGTAATTTCTGGATTTTTCTCTTTTCCACCCCACCTTGGGAACCCCTCTGTCTAATAGTACCCCCCAGAACGCCACTGGTTGCTTTCAGGATGCGCTGAGAGGAGGGGGAAGAATGTCTTGCCCCCCCCCCCTTACCACCACCACTACTGCTCGCTCGACTGGGCTCCCAGGGCGGGCGGGGGAAGCGGAGCCGTCTGCAGCCAGAGCCTGCGGCGGCGACTTGGGTGGGCCGAGGAGGCACGGGGGCGGGGAAGGCGGGACCGGGAGAAGAGGGGCGGGGCCGACTCCTGGGAGATGAGGAGCTAGGGGTAACGTGGAGGACTCTGAAAAATAGGGAGACATTGAAGATGATTCGGGTCTCCGGCAGGGGAACCCTGCCCCATCCTGCACTCCCAGTCATACCCAGAAAAACTTTAATGAAGCTGGAAAAGTTAGCAAAATTTTACTACTGTGAAAAGGAGACGTGGGTGGGCCGTGGCGCGCGTGGGCAGAGAGAGATGTCACTCCACTTTCCATCGTAGCTCCTTCGGGCGGTCAGGCAATGTGGCAAGAAGATAACAGAGTGGTAGGTTTGGGGGAGCCTCTAGTGTTTGGGGGTCGTTTGCGAGGCCGCCTCCTTCCCCTGGGTGAGTCATAAAGGAAGAAGGCGGGAGAACTGCCCCCCCATCCAGCTGCCAGCCAGCTGTGCCCCCCGCCCCCAACGTTAGTGCCAAGGTCGAGTTGGGAGGTCTTGGATGCGGGATCCGGATCTCGACTTGGAAAAGGAGGAGTTAGAAAGTGTACAGCCCAGGCTGCGGGGCTTGGGCTGGGTCGTAGGGTCCGGGTTCCGCTCCCCATTTTACCCCGCCCTCACCCTAAATCCCAGCATCCCGGGATCACCCACCGCGCCGGCTGGCCCGCTCCTAGTCGTTCTCCACCCCACCCCACCCCACCCCACCCTCCTCTCCCGGGAAATCGGAAAACGTGGGATGGAGTACAGACTGGAGTTTGAGGAGAAAAGCGGTCCTCAGCACCTTCTCCTTCCTCACTACTCCTTTCTAATGGATGGTGACTTTGTTTTTTCATTCTCATGAAACCGTCCTTCACAGTCCCTTTTCAGTTCCCCCAAAACAGAGACCTTTAAAAAGGGTTAGGTGGACCCAGAGCCAAACAACCTCACAATGGCTTCAGCTTTCATTCTTTGTACCCAACAGACCAGAGAAGTTCCTCTCAGAAATCTTATTCCCACCTACACAGTTTTCTGCCTAAGAGGACAGATGATGGATCATTTGTGCTCTACTTGCTGGCTCCACCAACCTGTTTGGACTGAAGACAGGGCGCCCTCTGCTGAACACTAGAGATATTGTAGATGGGCTGTCCCTGCGCAGAGCAAGTGAAAGAAAGGGACTGACTGGAGCTCAAGCCCAACAGTCCAGTGCATGAAGTCAGATCCTCCACATAAACTTTTCTATCACATTCTTCAAAGCTGGTCCATGGTCAAAGCAAGAAGTAGAGATCCCATGATATTAAAATCATTGAAACTCATTTTGGCTCAATTAATCCATCTCTGAATACACACACAAACATCACCACCACCACCAGGCAAAGCTCCTATCTGGTTCCCAAAAAGACCCCTAAGACTGAAAGACTGAAATCTACCTCTTTGGGATATTTCACCTTAGCCCTTCTGTGGCTAAGTGATGTTATTTTCAACTTGGTTTCCATAGCCAATACTGTAGGGGGCTTGGGGCCCAGAGGACATGCTGGCCATGGTTGTGTGCCTGAGTCCATCGTCTGGTCTTCCCTATTTCCCTTCAACTTTATAACTTGCAGATCTACCTTCCCCTTCTGCAGTGTCTCCACAGCCTCCTCTGAGACACCATGTTCAACTCAATGACTCCACCACCAGTCAGTAGCTATGGCGAGCCATGCTGTCTCAGGCCTCTCCCCAGCCAAGGGGTCCCCAGCATGGGGACAGAAGGTTAGTGCGTTTACCAATTCTTGGTTCTTGAGGACTCGGCAGTCCAGGATCCCTCTCAGCCCTAAGCTGGTTTCCCATCTTTAGGAGGATTTGAGGCCCCTTGTCAGGTCTTGCTTGGGGTTTTCAAGGTGAGGCCTTCACATCTCCTATTCAGCTGTCTCTCTTTTCTAGGACTGTCTGGTCTGCCCTTCTGCCACCAAGCCAACCTCATGTCTGGCCCCCACAATTATGGGCCAGCCAGAGAGACCAACAGCTGCACTGAGGGTAAGGACTGTCTGCCTTTCTAAGACTTGTTCCAATGGAGAAAGTGGGAGGGCAAGGATCTGACTTGGAGGAAGAAATGCTCATAGATGGGAGGGATCAGAGAACAATCAAGAGGTCACAGATGGGATTGGTAAGACAGAGTCAAGCTTCATTTTTTGCTGAGAGCCAGGACCCACATGTTATGTGCATGGAGACCTTTACCATAGCTATCTCTGTTGTCTCCTGTCCTAGGGCCACTCTTTCCTCCTCCCCGAAGTGCAGTCAAGTTGACCAAGAAGCGAGCACTGTCCATCTCACCTCTTTCTGATGCCAGCCTGGACCTGCAGACAGTTATCCGTACCTCACCCAGTTCCCTCGTGGCCTTCATCAACTCACGCTGCACATCTCCAGGAGGGTCCTATGGCCATCTTTCCATTGGCACCATGAGGTGCAGGCAGTCCCTAAAATTCCTACTGAAACCCATTAAAAGATTCTGGCATTCCAAACCTGTTTGAATCCTTATCACTTCCAAGGAATTGAAGCCCTTCTCAGAGCCTCCTTGGTGCTGCCTCAACTGAGTGTCAACCAAGTCTTCCAGAATGCTCCCAATAGTTAAGCACTCCTGTGACTTCCTGATCTCTTAAGTAATGGTCTCCTCTTCTCCTTCTCAGCCCATCTCTGGGATTCCCACCACAGCTGAATCACCAAAAAGGGACCTCACCTTCCTTTGGAGTCCAGTCCGGTGGTCCTCATGACTCTACCCGGGGTGGGATGATGCCGCATTCTCAGTCCCAGGGACCCCTCCCAACTTGCCAGGTGAGAGCCTCCATATTGCTCTGATTTCCCCAGCTCAAGGTGGATGAGTAATAGACTTTACAGAGAAAGGTGAAGGAATAACACAAGATATGAAAGTTTTCAGTACCAGAAAAGTTGAGGCATGGATGCTGGGATTCACACCTTAGGGTTGACTCAGACCCTTCCAGATAACAGCCCACTGTTTGCCCGTCCCACTCACCGCTACTGTCTGAGGAAGAAGTACCTTTCATACTCAGGGGTTCCTGCTGCTTGGGTGGGGACCCTTAGGGCAGAAAGACCTGGCTCCTCCTTCTGCCTTCCACCCTCATCACCCTCACCTCTTCCCCTGGGGAAGCTGAAGTCGGAGCTGGACATGCTGGTTGGCAAGTGCCCGGAGGAGCCCTTGGAAGGGGACTTATCTAGCCCCAATTCCACAGGCACGCAGGTAAGGGGAGGGGTGGGGGCTTTACTTCTGGGACCTAAGTAAGACAAAAGTTGTCACGCAAGTGACTCTAAGATTGCCTCTCCTGCCCTAGGACCCCCTACTGGGGATGCTGGATGGGCGGGAGGATCTTGAGAGAGAGGAGAAGCCAGAGCCTGAGTCTGTGTATGAGACTGACTGCCGCTGGGATGGCTGCAGCCAGGAATTTGATTCCCAGGAACAGCTGGTGCACGTGAGCCCAAGGGGGGTAACGGGAATGTCTAGCTGGAGCCTATATGAGACTCTGAGTGGGACATTGTGGGTCTGGCTAAAGGCAGGAGGTTACCCCTTCCCTGGATACTGAGGTGAGAGATTGTGTGCTCAGTTGGGTAACCAAAAGCACAGAGCTGTAGCTTTGCTATAGAGAGCTAGAAGACCTGAGTTGTGGGATATGCTGCCTTCCTGCCCCTTTTTCTCCATGAGGGGGAGCTGAGGAGGAGTAGGAGGGCTGAGGGGGGGTCTGTTCTGGGTTTTGGGGTCACTGGTTTTGGGGACCTTGAAGAGCCTCTGCATCTTCTCCCTCAGCACATTAATAGCGAACACATCCATGGGGAGCGGAAGGAGTTTGTGTGCCATTGGGGAGGCTGCTCCAGGGAGCTGAGGCCCTTCAAAGCCCAGTACATGCTGGTGGTGCACATGCGCAGACACACAGGAGAGAAGCCACACAAGTGCACGGTGAGACATCAGTTCCTAAGCCAGGGTCCCTCCCTAAATTGGCTTCCCATCAAAGTAGGGTTCAGAGCAAACTTTTGCCTTCATAGGTCTCTTCTTCCAAAAACAAATATTAAAAATCTAATTTATCACTGTGTTAGTATAAAGATGAAAGTACTGATCTGTATTAAAATATTTCCATGGTATGGTGGTACACACCTGTAATTCCAGCATTCAAGAGGCTAAGGTAGGAGGATCATGAGTTTGGAGTTGGAGGCCAGTCTGGGCTACAGCAAGACCTGATCTCAAAAGACCAAAAACTGGTCCCCCTCCCAAAGAAAACCCACATTTTTTTTGGACTTGAAAGTTTGGTTTTTCTTCCTGATTTTACTTTTTTTTTTTTTTTTTTTCATGGTACTGGGGATTAAGCCCAGGGCCTAGCACTTACATGGCAAGCACTCTATCACTTGAGCTCTGCATTCCCACCCCCCAGCATGCCCCTTGATTTTAAAAGAGATTAAACTATGTCTGTGACTCTTAGGACACTGCAGGACCTGCTACACTTCCATGTGGATAAGCCCTGCACTACGAGCAAAAGATGCTCAGATGAGCCTATTGCCCAGGTTACCCCTTCAAAGACAGTCTAAGCTCCCATGCAAGGAGACTTGTTCCAGAGGGACCAAGATGTTCACTATCTCACTGCCACACCTCCAAGAGCAGTGCCTCCTGCTGTACATTTTCCCAGCTCTGTCTGCCCTTGTCCCCTAATCTGGGAAATGTTCCTAAGCCCCAGTGCACTCTGATTTTGAGTTCTATTCTCTGATATATGTCCCTTTTGAGATTTAGAGCGCCTTTAATTTCCATGTCCTTCTGTCTGAGAGCTATCATTTGGCCCCCACACATCCCCCAGTTTGAAGGGTGTCGGAAGTCATACTCACGCCTGGAAAACCTGAAAACCCACCTGCGATCACATACGGGTGAGAAGCCGTACATGTGTGAGCATGAGGGCTGCAGCAAAGCCTTCAGCAATGCCAGCGACCGCGCCAAGCACCAGAATCGGACCCACTCCAATGAGGTGACTGCCCCAACTAAGAGACCCTCCCCACTTGAGAAGTCTCTTTTAGGGGAGAATCCCCTATAGGGCATCCCTTAGCCCAGCACCCACTCCACAGAGGTGAGTTCCCCCACTATGTCATTCACCCTTTCAAAACCAAGAATTTCCACTTGCCACTCCTCCTTCCTTTAACCAGCCCACGAACCAACCTAAAATAAGACCCCAATCTCTGAATTTATGAGGCCTCATAGCTCTGGGGTCACCCCTCATCTTTCCTAGGCTTGGGCCATCTGTTTTCCTAATCTTCCTTGAAGCCTCTCATATTTTTACTCCCACCCAAGGGCCCACACCCTTCTGGCTTCCTTGGTTGCTATGTGTCCTTCCCTTACCCCCCTTATTGACAGCACTTCTCCCCATTCCTCCTGCATTCTTCCACTTTGATCCTTTGGCCTTTTGTCTTCACTCTCCACTCAACAGAAGCCGTATGTGTGTAAGCTCCCAGGGTGCACCAAACGCTATACAGATCCCAGCTCACTCCGCAAACATGTCAAGACAGTGCATGGTCCTGATGCCCACGTGACCAAGCGGCATCGAGGGGATGGCCCCTTACCCCGGGCATCCTCCCTTTCCACAGTGGAGCCCAAGAGGGAGCGGGAAGGAGGCCCCATCAGGGAAGAGAGCAGACTGACAGTGCCTGAGGGTGCCATGGTGAGCCAGTCCAGGCAACCTTGCCTTCATACCCAGCCTGCCCTGCTGACCTCTTTCTAGCCCCTTCCTGTCTCCTCCCACATAAATCACTCTTCTGTGGCCAGTCCACCTATCTCTCATCCCAGTGTTGCTCCTGGACCCACCCACAACCTAGAGATTTTAGTATTGTCGATTATTTAATTGATTCAAGAAACTCACTCTTAAGCCAGGCACCCAGTGGCTCAAGCTATTCAGGAGGCAAAGATCTGGAGGATTGCAGTTTGAAGCCAGCCCAGGCAAAATAGTTCTTGAGACCCTATCTCGAAAAAACCCATCACGAAAAAGGGCTGGCGGAGTGGCTCATGTGGTAAGAGTGCCTGCCTAGCAAGTGTACGGCCCTGACTTCAAATCCCAGTGCTGCCAAAAAAATAGAAACTCATTCCTAAATAGTATGTTGTTCCAACTCTTTGACACATATAAGTTCATGTACTACTCAATTTCATGAGAAAGAAGGAACTTACTCTCCTCATTTTCAGATGAAGGAACAGGCATAGAAAACCTGGACAAGGTTATAGGACTAAGTGCAAGAATTGGAGCCCGGCAGTCTGTGCTCCAGCCTGGGTTTCTTCTCAAATACCTCTTTCTGTTTGCCCCAGCCTCCTGCTCAGCCCTTTCTACACTTGTATGCCTGCCCTCAGCCCTAGTAGTCACTGGGACACAGGCTTCAGCCACCCACCAAATTGAAGTATCTGTGAGGAAGGGGGAAAGGGGAAGGGTACTGCCTTCAGCCTTCATCTTCCCCACAGAAGCCACAGCCAAGCCCTGGGGCACAGTCTTCCTGCAGCAGTGACCATTCCCCGGCAGGCAGCGCAGCCAATACAGACAGCGGTGTGGAAATGGCTGGCAATGCAGGGGGCAGCACTGAGGACCTGTCCAGCTTGGATGAGGGGCCTTGCATTGCTGGTACTGGACTGTCCACTCTTCGCCGCCTTGAGAACCTCAGGCTGGATCAGCTGCATCAACTCCGGCCACTAGGGCCCCGGGGTCTCAAACTGCCCAGCTTGACCCACACTGGTAAGACCCAGGCACGGGAGGTGTTGCTGGGCTGTGATCTGGATTGTCCTGAGGTTGGAAGGAGGTGATCACTCTTCAGGGCTGCCATATGTTAACCTCTATTTAGAAAAAGGTCCTTCCCTTGACACTTTCCTTCCATCTTTATAGGGCTGGTGGAGTGGCTGCCTTGTAAGCATAAGGCACTAAGTTCAAACTCCAGTGCTGCCAACAAATAAATAAATAGAAAATTGATATATAGGGCTGAGATGTAGCTCAGTGGTAAAGAGTTTGCCTAAGATATGTAAAACCCGGGTTCAATCCCCAGCACTGCCCATTCCCCCTCCCCCTCCAAAAAATTGTTATATATGGTTGTGTGTGCTGGTGCATACCTATAATCACAGAACTCAGGAGGCTGAAGAAAGAGTATTTCAAGTTCAAACCAGCCTTAGCTACATAGGGAGACCTGTCTTGGGGAGCAGGATTGGGGGAGAGATGGAAAACTGGGTGTGGTGGTACACACTTGTAATCCCAGTTACTTGGGAGGCAAAGGCAGGAGGATTGTGAGTTTGAGGTCAGCAAGACCCTCTTTCATAAGCAAATAAAAAAGGACTAGGGGCGTGACCCAAGTGGCAGAATGCTTGCCTAGCATGCACAAGGGCCTGGGTTCAATCCCCACTACTGCAAAGGAAGGAAGGGAGGAAGAAAGGAAAACTGATAAATAAATATGCAAAGTCTATGATGTGAATACTGTGCCTTTCCTTCAGAACCCAGGCACAACACTGTGCAGTGTACAGTCTGTACAACTATTCACAGCAGCCCTGAATCCCTGGGAACCCATAAGCAGAGTAGGCAGAGGAGAGGCATGAGACAGATCTGAGTGGTTAGGGTTAAGGAGACTAGGACACCTTGTTTTGGTACTACAGGACAAAGCTATCCTGTAGGAGAGACAGGGTCATTCAGGGAGCTTCCTCACAACCTGCCTTTTCTCCCTGTCACTTGCAGGTACCCCTGTGTCTCGTCGTCTGGGCCCCCCAGTCTCTCTTGACCGCCGCAGCAGCAGCTCCAGCAGCATTAGCTCTGCCTATACTGTGAGCCGCCGCTCCTCCCTGGCCTCCCCCTTCCAACCTGGTTCCCCACCAGAGAACGGAGCATCTTCCTTGCCTGGCCTCACACCTGCCCAGCACTACCTGCTCCGGGCAAGATACACTTCAGCCAGGGCAGGTGGCACCCCACCCACTGCAGCACCCAGTCTGGATCGGATGGGGGGTATTCCTGCACCTCCTTGGAGAAGTCGAGCTGAGTATCCAGGATACAACCCCAATGCAGGGGTCACCCGGAGGGCCAGTGATCCAGCCCGGGCTGCTGACCGCCCTGCTCCAGCCAGAGTCCAGCGATTCAAGAGCCTGGGCTGTGTCCACACACCCCCTACTGTGGCAACTGGAGGACGGAACTTTGATCCCCACCTCCCAACCTCTGTTTATTCATCACAGCCCCCTGACATCACTGAGAATGTCACCATGAATACTAGAGGGCTACGGGAGGAGCCAGAGGTTGGGACTTCCATGATAAGCAGTGGTCTGAACCCCTATATGGACTTCTCATCTGCTGATACTTTGGGATATGGGGGGCCTGAGGGGGCAGGAACTGAGCCTTATGGAGCTAGGGGTCCAGGTTCCCTGCCTCTTGGGCCTGGTCCACCCACCAACTATGGCCCTAGCCCTTGTCCCCAACAGGTCTCCTTTCCTGACCCCTTCCCTGATACATGGGGCGAGTTTTCTTCTCATTCTGGGCTGTACCCAGGCACCAAGATTCCAGGTGGAGCCTACAGCCACTGTCCTCGACTTGAACATTATGGACAAGTGCAGGTCAAGCCAGAACAAGGGTGCCCAGTGGGGTCTGATTCCACAGGACTGGCAGCCTGCCTCAATGCTCACCCCAGTGAGGGGCCACCATTCTCTCACTACCCCCAGCCCCCACATCCCCAGTATCCCCTGTCAGGTCCCTATCCCCAGCCACTCCCTGATTATCTTCCTTCAGAACCCAGGTCTGGCCTGGATTTTGATTCCCCCACTCATTCCACAGGACAGCTCAAGGCACAGCTTGTGTGTAATTATGTTCAGTCTCAGCAAGAACTGCTGTGGGAAGGTGGGGGCCCAGGAGAGGCCCCTGTCCGAGAACCTCCCTACCAGAGTCACAAGTTTCTGGGGGGTTCCCAGATTAGCCCAAGCTCTGCCAAAGCTCCAGTGGCTACATATGGACCTGGCTTTACACCTAACTTGCCCAATCACAAGTCAGGCTCCTACCCCACCCCTTCACCATGCCAAGAAAATTTTGCAGTGGGAGCAAATAGGGCTTCCCATAGGGCAGCAGCACCACCCCGGCTTCTGCCTCCATTGCCCACTTGCTGTGGGCCCCTCAAAATGGGGGGTACTAATCCCAGCTGTGGCCATCCTGAGGTGGGCAGGCTGGGAGGAGGTCCTGCCTTGTACCCTCCTCCTGAAGGGCAGATGTGTAACCCTCTGGACTCTCTTGATCTTGACAACACTCAGCTGGACTTTGTGGCTATTCTGGATGAGGCCCAGGGGCTGAGTCCTCCTCCTTCCCATGATGAGGAAGGCAGGTCTGAACATACCCCACCTCCCTCTGGACCCCCCAACATGGCTGTGGGTAATATGAGTGTCTTACTGGGATCTCTGCCTGGGGAGACACAATTCCTCAACTCTAGTGCCTAAAGAGTGGGGAGTCCATCCATCTGATTGTGTTTCCTAAGGGGCTTCCATCACTCCAGAGGAGTTGGGAGTGAAGCCACAGCCCCCTGCATAAATGCCCAGGGATAGAAGGGATGGGCTTGGGGCTGTATTTAGGCTGTGCATGTTTTGAGGAAAAATTTGATAATGACACTATTTCCGGACAATAAAGGAACTGCATCAGAAAGAATTGTTTTATGTATTATATTGGGAAGATGAACAAAAAGAAATGGGAGTTCACCTTCCCACTTTCCTCTTCAGAGAGTTCCCTTACGCAATCCCAACCCCTTGGGTCAGACTCAGGAAGGTGGAGAGTATCCTTTGGAGGACAATTTATGAAAAGATATCTGCAAAACAGAGCACCCCACTCCACCTGATAGATCATAGGGAATAGTTTCTTCTTCCTTGCTTGAGTCAGGGGAAGAGACTGGCAAAGTTGGTGAGCATCAGTTGGACCAGCTGCCCAGGGTAGAGGGCATGGGCCGCCAGGTCCGATGTCTCCTGCTCTGGCCGAAACAGGGTTGGTCCAAACACAATTCCCAAGTTGTGGGGCGTCATGCGGTTCTTATCTGAGTGTGCTATCACCCTGGGGGCAAACACCAAGAGAAGGCGAAATAAGGCTGAGCAGTTCCCCACAATCTAACCCTAAAAGGTCTGAACAGGGAAGAGCTCAATTCTAGATTCCTCCAGGAACCAAGGGCAGAGCCTCCAGGGAATCAGAGATGGATTAGTGGAGAATGCTGAAGTTACAACCTGGGATGTAAGTGCCTGATTCCCAGCTTCAGGGAGAGCTCCTAGAGTTCTTTCTGCTTCAATTCAAATACCATCTCCCTACCCCCACTTTCAGAGGTCACTGCCCAGGTTCAGTTCACCCAACAAGCCATTTCCACCACCCCAATGGGAGGCAAAAGCAGAAGAAAGGAAGAGACAAGAGTTCCTTTATTTTACAGCATCTTTGGAATTGTCTTGGGTCCATTTCCCCACGTGATGTTGAGCTATCCAGACTTTGACAGATGTCTCCTGCCCTCTAAACCAGGTGCTTTCCTACTTCCACCCACCTGAACAGATTCCAACTGCAAGCCCACTCCACCCTACCCAGCATGAGCAAAGATGTCTGGTTTTACTGACCTACATAAATGTTCCAGGAGGTACTGCAGAGTGTCATGATTGGGCTTTGGCATGGAGTCTATTAATTCTTGTATTTGAGACAGGCGTTGCTCTGATTCAGAGAGTGCTAGAAAGAGAATGATGGGAAGGGTATGGGGGTGAGGCTAGAGAAGGTGCTAGGACAGGGTGGGTAAATGGTAAATTTGCAACTCTTTTCCATGTCTGTGGAAAACATTTATCTAGCACAGCTTTTCTTTCTTTTTTTTTTTTTTTCAATACTGGGGATTAAATACTCAGGGCCTACACATAAGGCAAGCGCTCTACCACTCAAGCCATGCTCTCAGCCCTTTTGGAATTTTTGTTGTTGTGTGTTGTTTATTGAGACAAGGTCTCAGTATATAACTGTGGCTAGCCTGAAACTTGCAATTCTCCTGCCTCAGCCTCCCTGAGTGCTGGGATTACAGGCACATAACACCTGTAATGCCAGGTGGTGATTTCTTATTTATTTATTTATTTATTTATTGGTGCTGGGGATTGAACCCAGGGTCTTGTACTTACTAAGCACCCACTTTACTACTGAGCTACATCCCAGTATTCAGCTTTCTTCCTCCTGTAGGTCAACTGTAACTCAGCCCTCTAAACATTTACACACCCAAACACACACACACAAAAACAAAACCCTCAAAACAACCAGAGTTGGTACCTAAGTTTTTTTTACAACTCTCTGGTCAAGATAGAAGGGAACCACTATTCTATTCCTTACTACTCATGCAGGCCCCCTCATATCACGGGTGTTGTCTAAAGTTCCCAACACTTACCAAGGGCAGCACGAAAATGAGGCAGCAGTGATGGGGGTACCAGAGGCTGGGGCAGTTCCCGGAGAAAAAGTTTCAGGGCTCCAGTGACCACATGAATGTCATCCCATTCAGCACTGTCCAAATCTAATCGGCCTTCTGGATGGAAAAGGAGGTTCAGTGGGTTCAGGGCTCATGAAGGGCTAGAGGGACGCAGAGACTGAAAAGTCAGGACTTCTGAAGAAATACAGTCAAAGAGAACCACAAGAATGTTGGAAAGGGTCTACAGAAAGGCAAAATAGAAAATGTGGGGGAAAGCGGCAACTTTCCTAGAGGCAGGACATGGGGGAATCCATGGGATACAAGGAAGGCATGGAGAGGTTTTAGGGGTCTGAAAGACCTTCTAAATAAGTACCTTGTCCTGGATGTTCTGGGAACATATACCTCCCATCAGAGGTGACTGCCCGCTCTGCAACATGTATGACAAGAAATCGGGAGCTAAGACACATAGTTCCAGGCAGAAACACTGTCCCAGCTCCTTTACTCAGAACCACTCCAGTTATGAGGTAAGGTCTTGCTACCACTTTTTCACAAGCCTGCTTACCTCTGTCCACCAGAAAGCGAAGTTTCTGCACCACAGCCAAGTTCCCACTCACCCGGTAAATGCCATCTACATCTAGACCTAGGAGATGAGGCAGGGAGCAGATAAAGACTACTGCTCTAAAGCATGTGTGGGGAGGACTATGAGGGATCTAAGGAAGAAAAGGGGTAGTAGGAAGAGGGGGGCGATAATCCGAGGCCTTGGTCTATTGAAGGGGAGATTCTGGAGTCTTTCTCAGGGAAATAACCTCTTTTATCCACAGCAGCAATGCAGAGTCGCACAAAGTTTGGCACTGTGTCCCCTTCCCGCTGGCACAGTGATTCCAACTGGCATCCAAACACCTGGTCTGGGGAGGTACAGAATAAAGTGGGACGCTCTTCTCAGTACAGGTCTTCACCCTTAAGCAGGCCTGTCTCTCCTGCTGTTCAGGAGGAAGGAGGCATCCCCCTGACCTCCAAATAATCAGGAGCAATGGAAAAAATAGGGGTCTAAGAAAGCTGTGATCTAGCTCTGGGAAGCTCAACTTTGAGCCTGGCTAGTTTTCTCATCCATGAAATGGGCTGATGCTCAGTTCAGAAATGCAAAAGTGTTTGCAAAAACAGTAAAATAGGCACAAAGTACGGGGCCCCAGCTGGCCCAGGTCACCTCACCTCGGAGTAGACCCCGCTCCTGAAGGCTTTGCAAGGGCGGTCTCTTGGCGATAAGCCGCTTTAGCTTGCTGCGCACGCGGTTCTGCTCGGTGCCTTCGGGACACCGACCTGTAGGAGGCAGGTAGAGTAAGGGTACCAGAACAGGAGCCTGGCTGAGGAGCCTCTCTGCGCACCCCAGGCCGGGCCCTCCCACTACCACTCCATACTGGAACTCCGGCGGCCGCTGAGCCTCAGCAGTGACTTGGAAACCGGTTCTGATTCCTCTTCCTCATCCTCCCCGGCGCTCAGCTCCCCCAGCTCTGCGGGTCCTGAGCCCGACAGACGCAGCTCCAGGGGGTTCTCCCGGTCCTAGACCAAAATGGGCGGGGTAGGCCAGGTCGGAGTTGGAAGAGAGGGGAGAAATCTGCACCTTCAAGCCGCTGCCGGTAGCCCAAGTCCCAGACCCACCCAGGGCCAACACTTTACACTAAGTCCCCACAGCCCCGAGACTCCTATTGCTACCCCACTCCCTCGCCCCATGCAGCTCGGCCCGACCCTCTCCCGGGCTTCCCACCCATCTAACCAGTCGCTCGATGACCGCCCGAAGAGCCCGATGCCAGGCTCGCAGCTCGGTCTCCTGGTCTGACTGCAGCAGAAACTCGTGGCCGGGGACCGTGCGGATCTAGGGGGCGGGCGGGGAAAGACTTCGGTCAGTAGAGAGAGGCCTCAAAAGCTGGGAGCCCCTGTGGGAGAAGGGTTGTGGAAGATTGGGGACGCGCCCTCGGGTGGGGTGGGGCTCTGGAGGGCACTTACATGCAGGACGTTTCGGCGGCTGGACAGGTGGCGGCCATGCGCCAGGGCCGCCCCCCGCAGGTCCACGCTACTTTCGGGGCGGCTACCTGCTGGCGCCTGGCGATTAGGAGAGAAACTGAAGCCACGGATTGGTTCGCTCACTGCTTCCCTCTCACCAGTGGGTTTCAAATAGGTGGGAGGCTTCCTCATTCCTTTCCATTCCTCTCCATCGCCCTCCCCACCTCCCCACCTCACTGGGCCTGAAGAAGTAGCCCCAAATCACTCCTGCGCCCTTTCCTGGCACTCACCCAACCTGGGGAGGGCACAGTTGGCAGCGGCGGCTCTCGGTAGAACACCAGGCTGTTACCGGCTAACACCACCCAAGACGGGCCCCAGTTCTTCCTGCAGGGGGAAGTGGGAAGGGCAGCAGTAGTTGTGAAAAAGTCATTCTAGACTTAACACGGGCACACTGCTCTTCCCTGCGGAATCCAATAGCCCAGGTTTCTGGTGTAGTCCAGGCCCTCACCTGAGCTTGCGTCCCCCTTGGGCGATCTTGGTCATATTGAGCAGGCCCGACTTTTCCACTTCCTGGGAAGGAGACAGAGTGGTGTCCATAAGCCACCCTGTTCAGCCCGGCCACCGGCGTTTTCCCTATGGGGTCTCCTTGGAGTGAGGTCCCTTAAAGTTGCGGGGAGGGGCTGGGTAAGGAGGATACCCAGAAAGAGGAAGATGTTTTTGAGGAGCAGGAGTTGAGGGTGGGGCAGGGAGATCTTTGCATTCAAAGGACATGGGAGACTCACATGGGGGTCGTCCAGGAGTTGAGGCAAAGCTCGAGGGGGTTGTGAGGCTGGGGCCTGTTCTGCAGGGTCAAGCTGGGAGATACGTTGGCTCAGGTGGAGCGGACTCTGGAGAGGTGGGAGATTGAAGAAATAAGTAGAGGAACCTTCAATTTGAGGGTCCCTGGCTGTCAGAGGAAGAGGGGTGTGCATGTGGTAGAGAGGAAAGGGGTGTGGTGGGTAGTGAAGAAGAATGTGTTGCATAAAAGAAAAAGTCATAAGAAGTTAGGGCTTTTTTTTTTTTGCATGTGATTGGGAGGTAGGAGGGATCTCACCTGAGGGTCAAGCCATTCCAGGGTCCCTGTGTCAGACACTGAGCCCTTTGCCTGAGGTTGCAGGACACCATTGTCCCTATTCAAGGTCTGTGTTCCCTCCATGGAGCCAGGATTCTATGTTTAGGGGAGGGAGACAAAACTATATCCAGATGCCACCTCAACGGGTTCTCAATACCTTCCTTATAATTTATCCATCCTTCTGATCCTCTGAGAGCTCCAGAGAGAAAGCACATTACCTTGGGGTTCAGCAGGAGAACAGAGATTAAAGGGGCAGTGGGACAAGAAGAAGGGAAGGTCTCACCATAACTTGAGGGCGACTTAGGCGTGGAGGCTTCCAGGACTTGCAGCCAGTCAGCGAATTTATATAGAAGCAGCGTCCAGAGTCGGGGTCCAGGTGCTGTTCCCAGGCATCCAGCCTCTGCAGTGGGGGGCATGCAGGGTCTGGGGGCGGGGACCGAGGACAGCGACGAAGGTCCACCAGGTTACAATATACAGGGGCCTGTGACATGAGGGGCTGGGGTTCTACCTGTCAGGAGGAAGAAGGTGGTTATTTTAACAGTGTCCCTCCCCTATCTAGTTTACCCCTTACCTTCTCCTCCTCCTCTCTCCCCCACCATTTTCTCACCGCCAGCTCTCAGCCAAGGTGACCCAGGTACAGGGGAAGAAACCCCAGAAACACTGCTGTTTTTTAAAAAAATTCTCTCCCTCACAGTCTTTTTTGCTTTTCTCCTCACTTCCTGTTGCCAACTTCCCTCCTCCCCCACCCCACCCCCCAGGGCCGCAGGAAAGGGGAACAGGCTTTTTCTTTGGGGGGGGGGTGAGGGGAGTGCTCCACCCTCACATCCTGCAGGGTAAAAGACAACAGAGGGGAGTAAGAGACCCCTGCTAGGAGAGTATAAAGGAGGAGGGGCCATTTTCTATCCACTAGCCAGAAAGAGAGAGGGGAGGAGCTGAGCAAGGGAGTTTATCTCTAGAGGGGACTTACTGGTGTCCCAGCTGGTAGGACAGGGAAAAAACACTGCCCTGGGCTAGGAGTCAGGAGCCTGTTGGACTTCTTTCAGTCCTTTTGTTGTACCAGGTTCTCTGTCCCCTCAGGGGCTTTGCTATTTACTGCCCATTCTGATCTCCTAGTCCGCCTTAGGCCCGCCTCTTCTTCCTCTCTGATCAATGCTTTCTCAGACCTCCTCAGCCACTCTTCACATTTACTCTCTTCGTAGTTCTTATTAGTATTAGGATCACTAAGGGTTACCTTATTTGTTTATGTTACACACACACACACACACACACACACACACTCCCTTGAGAGTAGGGATGCTGTCTGTCGTATTTGCCACTGTACCCAGGAACAGGGTCCAGCTGTAGCGTCTGTTGACTATCCATGCTCAGGAGAGCTGTGACTCACCATGTTGGGACTGGCCTCTGTCAGCAAGTCTTCCAGTGAGAGGGATCTTCCACTTGGCCCTTCCTGGAGGGGCTTCAAGAGGCTCCGCCTCAAATTAGCAACACTGACACTTCTACACATTTTGGGTGGAAGAGGAGGAGGCAGCTCAGATGTAGCCTGGGGTGATTGAGACAGGTGCAACTCCTCCAGAGAGCCATGAAACAACTTTGACTCTGAAAACAGAGAAATGGGATGGGAGAGCAGGTGATCAGAGGCTTGGATCTTCAAGGAAGTCAAGAGGAAGGCTGTGGAAAATGATATGAGACCTAGAAGACCTGGGATTAGGAAGGGAAGCAATGGGATGGGGATACTACCATAGTTGGGATGAGGGGTAGACTAATCAGAGGGAGATTAGAGAAAGGGGCCAGCAGAAACTAGGTGGAAAAGGACCTCCTCATTAATTCCCTAAACCCAGGGAGACAGAAAAGTGATGGGAGAGGGCTTAGGGTTTACTCACCAGGAGTCCAGAGGGATTGGTTGGGGGTAATGATAGTTGGGCTCTGGGAGGGGATAGATTCTTCTGTCATGTAGGCAGCTGGAACAAAGATGGGTCGAGAGCTGGAGGGGGCTCCCAGGCGCCTTGCCAACCACCAGTCCGAGTTGGTTTTTCGAAGCAGTAGAAACCTGTCACCTTCAGCCAGTGATACTTGCCGGCCATCTGCCCCAGTGTAAGTAAAGGCATAGAGGGCACAGATCTGGGATCCTCGAGAGGAGTTTCGGGGCCCTAGCCCTAGACCACCCCAGGTACTTGGCCACCATCTTCCTGACAGCATTGTGGTCAGCACTGTCACCTGTGGGAAAAAGAGGTGTTGCAAATCCAGAAGAAAACAGTACTGGCTGACTGTAGACAGAAAGTCATGGTTCTAAGAGTAGTGTGTAGGTAATAGGGGAGGAGGGGTGAGAACAAGAACCCCAGAGTGAGAAGAAAAGGTAAAGCAGAAGCCTTGGGTGGGGGTCAGTGCATCTTTGGGGGGCTAAGAGCTTCTGGGTGACGCATCTGGTGAGGAAGTATATAAGTAGGGTGAGAGAGGATGTGGTCAGCAGTGCTGTGTGGCCCGCAAGGCAGGAAATCAGAGATGACCTGACTGGGTAATTTTCCTCCAAGTACCTTATGGAGTCCATCTGACGATCGAGGGATAGGAGGAGTTGGTCCTGGGTGCTGGTGGGAGTCTTGAGCTGAACACAGGAAGGAGATGAGGAAGAATCAGGTTCAAGACAGAAACACAAGGAAAGGCACGAGAAGTACTGATAAAAAAGTTTGTGACCCTTTATTAAATTTGCACAGGCATCAATATTTCCGTTACCAATCACCTCAGGCCTAAAACTGCGTGTTTCCTGTGCAGACAGAGAGACAGAAAAATAGAAAGCCAGAGAAACGGTACAAAAAATAAGAAAGAAAGAGAAAGTGGCAGAGAGAAATGCAGAGGAGTTCAGAGTTGAAATACCACCTTCCTCCCTATCTAAGAAACATTGTTGGATACTGAGAATCTTGATATGATCCTCTGCATCAGTCTCTTGGAGGAAAGACCAAACTTTAATGTATAGACTCATTTATTCATGCTGTCAAGGATTGATTGTGCAAGAAGCAGTCAGGCACTAGAGATGAGAGAGAGAGAGAGAGAAAGAGAGGGAGAGAGAGAAAGAGGAATGCACTCCATGGAGTTTAAGGAAAGATAGATACTTAACTGACACCACTGTAGATTTAATAATCATAATTGAATCAGGGACTATGTGTAAGTGGTACAAGACACCATGAGAGGTAGATTGAAGACTCACATTGGTTTCTCCCTGGTGGATGGTGGGAGAATTTACCTCCCTGGGATTGACAGCAGTTTAAAATCCTCTTTTCCTCTTCTCCATTCATTCCTCCACTGCATAGTATGAGGCTTTTTTTTTTTCTTTTGTGTGTGTATATGTGTGTGTGTGTTTGTGTGCAATGGGTTTTTTTGAAATAGGGTCTTGCAAACTATTTGCCCAGGCTGGCTTCGAACTATGGTCCTCCTGCTTCCTGCCTCCTGAGTATTTAGGATTACAGGCATGAGTCACCTGTACCTGGTCCATCTAATTCTTAAGTGCTCAAATATTATCCTCTTCTGCCTTCTCTAAAGCTAGCTCTCTTGTATTTTATTTTTGGCAGTACTGAGGTTTGAACTCAGGGCCTTACCCTTGCTAGGCAGGCACCCTCTCCTGCACTTCAGCTTTTCCTTATTCACTCATTCCCATTCTATCTTCTTCTTTTTTTTTTTTTTTTGAGACAAGTTCTCACTACATAGTTCAGGATGGCCTGGAACTCTGAAACTCCATCCTCCTGCTTCAGCCTCCTCAGTGCTGAGATTATAGTTGTGGTAGTACATTGTGGCTAGACTCTCATTTATTTCTGTTTTATTTTTAATGTTTTTGGTAGTACTGGGGTTTTAATTCAGGGCCTTGCACTTGCTAGGCGGGGTGCTCTACCACTTGAACCACTCTGCATCCTTCCCACTTACTTTTGAACTTATTCAAATCTCTCTCATCTTTAGACAAATTCCACCTTTCTGGATCCTCAAGTTACTATCCTGTCTGTCTGTCTGTCTCTTTCATTTGCTTCTTAGAATTTAACTTCTTGAAGAAATTGCCTACACATAGGGGTTTCCATTTCTTCTCCCCTACTCTTCTACCTTTCCAAGGCACTTCTCTAGGAGCCTGACCTTAGTAGATGCTTAGCAGTCCTTGTATTGTTTGACATCTCAGCAGCAAGCAACTCAATTGACCAATACTCTGCTGGTATCCTTCTCTTTACCTTCCTGGTCACTCCTCTGTGGCTAAGGGAGGGACCTTCCTCTCTTTGTTCCTTAAACCTTAGAAGCCTGTCTGAGATTCTGTACCCTTTGTATACGCTACATGTTATCCCTGGGTAGTCTTATTCTCTCAAATGACTTCCATATTCTGCTAAGAACAGTATTTCCAGTTCAGATCTTTAGAGCTCCCATCTAATTCATTGTGCACAGAAAAACTCTATGTAGATATTTCACGGGTACCACAAATTCAATATGTACTAAACTGAACATGTCAACTTTCCTCAGAATCCTGTTTCTCTTCCAGTACCACTATTCTGTTATACTTAAATTCAATAAATATTTATTGAATGCTTACTACCACATGTGCTAGGCAGGAACCATATGCTAGAGATTATTGATTATGAGCAAATAAGGTCCCTGCCCTCTCATACAGTTAGAATGTAGCATGATAATAATCATTATGATAGAGGTGGTACTAGCATCTGCTCGAGCACACAGAATGTGCACAATTATGCATGCCAGAACCCCAGCAGCTAGCTTTATTTCTCTTATTTCCTTACCACCTACTTTGATTCAACTGATTACTGAATACTGTAATTTGTATTTTTCCAACTTTCCTTTTTTTATTTTTTTGGCAGTTCTGAGGATGGAACTCAGAGCCTTGAACATGTTAGCAAATGCTGTAGCACTAAGCTACACCACTAGTCCTCCTTACTTCCTTTTAGCCTTATAACAATCACCTGCTTAGCACAGATGATATAACCTAACGACCTAACCAGTCCTCTTGTTTATAGTTCTGCTCCTCTCCCATTCATTCCCAACATAGCAGCCACAGTGACTTTTTTTTTTAAGAGACTGAACCCTATGTAGCCAGGCTGTCCTCCAAACTCTAAATCTACCTTCCTCAGTCTCCCAAGTGCTGGGATTATAGGCATGTACCACCATAAGAGGCTCACAGCAAGCTTTTTTTTTTTGGTGGGGGGAGGGTGGTACTGGGGTTTGAACTCAGGGCCTCATACTTACAAGGCAGGTGCTCTACCACTTGAGTCACTCTGCCAGCCCTCCTTGCATCAACCTTTCTAAAACACCAATGTGCCCTGCCACTCCTCAAATTTAAACTTTTGAAAAGCTTCTCACTGTCCTCAGAGTAAAGCCCAAATTTTATTTATAGAGACATTTCCATTCTTTCCTAGACTTTTCACACTCCCCACCAGAAACCCCCTATGCAGCCTTACACTAATTCCTTACATTCCTAAAGCAGTGCACTGGCATCTCTGATCCTTTGCATATGTTGTTTCCTGTGCTTGAAACACTTCCCCTCTCCACTCCTTCCAATCCTGCCCTAGTTCTTATCCATCACTCAGCTCTCAGTTGAAAGGACATTTGCATAAGAAGTCCTATTAAGTCCCTTAGCAGAGCCCTAACTTGAAGCTTCTGTGCAGCTTTACCTCTCTTCATATGTATCATCATACTTTAAAAGATTACTTGATTTTCTGATTTCCAGGAAGTCTGTGACTGAGCTAAGATAGAAGCCCATATATACTTGGTCAATGATTGTATCTTCAATGACTTATATAGTTCCTGGCACAAAGTAACCTCTCTATACCTCAGTTCCCTCCTCCGTAAAATGAAAACCTATCTCATAATTGTTTTGTTTGCTTTTTTGTGGAACAACAGCTTCTTTTTTATTATAGTTCACATAGCCTTAATATTACGGGGCAGAAACTTGAATAGGGCTCAGCTAGGGGGATGGGTGGGTGGGATTAATTTTTCCCATGTGGTACTCACTATGCTTCACTTGGTGGTGTTCTGTGGGCAGATGAACTGGTCTGGGAGGTTTCATTCACATGTCTAGCACCATAATGGGAATGCTCAGAATGCTGGGATCATCTGGAGCTATCATCTGGAATGTCTACATTCTACAGGGTGACTAAGATGTTCCAAAAAGCCTGAGCAGTTTCCCCCCCAACCCCATGGTCTAGCTTCAAAAGTTTTTTATTTTTTAATTAAATGAATTAACACATTAACGATGCCTGGCTTCCTAATCATAAATAGTATTAGGTATTAATTTTTCCTTTTGTGGTCTTGGGGATGGACCCTAGGGATTTGTGCATGCTAGGTGAGTACTCTACCACTGAACTACACACCCATCCCACAAAACTTTTTGTACATTAATTATTATTTTTTTTTGGTGGCACTAGGGTCTGAACTCACGGCCTCATGCTTGCTAGGCAGGCACTCTACCACTTGAGCTCCTCCACCAACCCTTTTTTGTGTTGGATATAGGGTCTCAGGAGCTATTTGCCTTAGGGGAGAGGAGGAGAAGGGGAGAGGAATGGGTAAGAGGGGAGGAGCAGGGGAAGGGGAACTGGTCTGGAATCTCTATCCTCCTGATCTCTGCCTCCTGAGTAGCTAGGATTTACAGTGAGCCACCAGAGCCGGCTATATTAATAATTCTTTCTTTTCTTTCTTTTGGCGGTACTGGGGTTTGAACTTAGGGCCTATATCTTGAGCCACTCCACTAGTCCTCGTTTTGTGTCATGGGTTTTTTTGAGATAGGGTCTCTTGAACCATTTTCCAGGCTGGCTTCGAACCTTGATCCTGATGATCTCTGCCTCCTGAGAGATTACAGGCGTGAGCCACTGACGCCAGGCTATTAATTACTTTTAAAGGGGTACAAAAATGAGTAAGAAGGGTCCCTTTCTCAATTACGTGTATGTGCTTCCTTGCACACTTACTGTGAAACTCTTAAGCTTTCTTACTTCCCCTTAATTTGACCTTTTCCTTATAAATGCCCTCCTCTCCTTTTGATAGGATTGTCGAGCTGTATGTAAGCTGCAGACTGGTGATACATCAATATTTTCATTAATCACATCCTTCTTGGTTGATAGGATATTTACACTAATTTCCAGTTTGTCACTATTGTAAACTTATCGTAACTCCCGAGTCTAAAACTCTGATCCTTAAGAACTTGAATCGAAGCCGGCGACTACGAGGAGCCGCATTCACGACCGCCACTTTATCCTCAACAACTACAGGACCAGAAGAAGTCGCGGTCCTAGTCACCCGTGTGTTCTAACCCGGGAAGTCTCTGGCGCTGGTCCTCCCACCAAAAAAGTGCCGCGCTAGCACCCCGTGTTTGACGTCCTCGTCTCGATGGTAGCCTTTTTCCGGTTTCCTAATGTTGCATGATGGGACAAATAGTCTACTTTACGGCCGCGGAGCGCGGGCATTGACCTGATAAAGAACTCCATTTCCCGGGGTGCCTTGCTATACCCAGAGTTGGGAGGCTGGTTCCGGTTGCATCAGCGTGGAATTCTCGGCGAAATGAGACTGTTCGTGAGCGAGGGCGCCCCGGGGAGCCTGCCGGTGCTGGCCGCGGCCGGGAGGGCCCGTGGTAGAGCAGAGCTGCTCATCAGCACTGTAGGCCCGGAAGGTACTCGGGCTTGTGCTGGTTGGCAGCGGATAAGGTGGGGAGGGTGGCGGGACAGAAAGACGCCGGCGTTCAGCCTCCACTACACCCACCTCTCTAACTCCTTCCCCCATTATCCCTGTTCGCTTTGTCCCCTCCCTTTCCTTGTTCCATCTTTCATCATTTACTTCCTGTAATTACCCTCACTATGCTCTTCCTTCATTTCTAGCCTCCCCTCTTCTTCCAGGATCCTCCCTCTCTCTAGTAACCTGCTCTCCTTTCCAACGTTCCCTCACAGCTATCAGTCAACCCCTTCCACCCTATAACTCAGGTAACAACCTCCAACCTCCTCTTTGTCATTCTTAGGAAATCTGCCCCTCGCTTCTTAAGACACACATGTACGAACGCAAACCTTTTAGTTTACCTCTTCTCATTCCCAGCCAACTGTTTGTGACTCTTAAGCGGTTCTCTTTCCTTCCAGTTCCTTAATTTTGTTCTCCCACTGTGACTTCAGCTCATTGGCAGGATATCCTAGTTACTTTCAGTTGTTCTGGTCTTTGGCTGCAGCACTGTCCCAATACCACCACCTCCTGTCCATCTGTTGTTTCCAGCTGGCAGTGTCTGCCAAACACCTGTTGGACTCTCCAGCATATTCTGGACCCACCCCCTTTCAGTGTTCTGTCTTCCAATCTCTAGATTGAGACTACCCATCTCTTTTTCCTGGAACAATGTGAAGTTTGTCCTAAGTTGACAAAGCATTTCTTTTCTTCCCCCCCCCCACCTTTTTCATCCATTTTCGTCTCCTACATCAGAGTGTGTGGTCCCATTCTTCACCCGGCCCAAGATCCCTGTCTTGCAGCTGGATAGTGGCAACTACCTCTTCTCCACTAGTGCAATCTGCCGGTCAGTATTGGTTCTTGTTGTGGGGAGGTTACTGTCCTTTGTGTGATTCTATTTGTAGCCACTGTTTCACTGAGAGATGAGAAATGGGCTAGACAAATGGACCTCTCCAATTGTAACTTGTGTTCTCTCCCTGGACAGATACTTCTTTCTTTTGTCTGGCTGGGAGCAAGATGACCTTACCAACCAGTGGCTGGAATGGGAAGCAACAGAGCTGCAGGTGGGACTAAAGCACTAGTGTTGGCAGGCAGGCTCTTCCTCTGCAGGACCGTCCTGACCTGTGTCCCTTGCATTTTAGCCAGCTCTGTCTATTGCCCTGTACTATTTAGTGGTACAAGGCAAGAAGGGGGAAGATGTTCTTGGCCCACTTCGGAGAGCCCTGACTTTCATTGACCACAGTTTGAGTCGTCAAAACTGCCCTTTCCTGGCTGGGGTGAGTTGGGATGGAGTGTGGGAAGGATTATGGTCTTAAGAGAGAAGGCTGTACTTAATGTGTTCACACTCCAACGGTGCCACTTACTAGCAGTGTCACCTCGACAGCCCATAAACTCAAGTTTTTAATCTGTGAAGTGGGAGTAATGGTAATACCTGCCTCATTCATTTATTGTGAAGATTAAGTGAGATAATAAAAGTGCTTAACCCAGAGCTTCACACATAACCAGTGCTTGGTAAACAGTAGATATTATTAACCATTGGAAGAAATATGAGTGCTTTATCTTGTATCTTTTTCTTTTTCTTTCCCAACCAGGAGACAGAATCCCTAGCTGACATTGTTTTGTGGGGAGCATTGTACCCATTACTGCAAGACCCAGCCTACCTCCCTGGTGAGACAACTGTGCATATCACTTTACCTCTAGCCCCAATTCCAGGAGTTTGGTATAGGGCTGGACAGGGCAGACAGGAGTGGACCTCTCACCTTCTTTGGAGTTCTCTCTGGTTGCTTTCCCCAGAGAGCAATCTTCTGCTATAGATGCCCTGTCAAACTGCTTATGCTTGCTCATTCTTTCTTTTCTGCCATGTCCACAGAGGAGCTGGGAGCCCTACGCAGCTGGTTCCAGACACTTAGTATCCAGGAGCCATGTCAGCAAGCTGCAGAGACTGTGCTGAAACAGCGGGGTGTCCTGGCTCTCCGGCCCTACCTCCAAAAGCAGCCCCAGCCGCAGCCCCAGCCTAATCCACCTGAGGGAAGAGTGGTCAGCAATGAGCCTGAGGTTTGGAATAGGGCAGAGCATCCCTCACAGAGCCTTGGGTCTAAAGTGGGAGATGTCTAGAAGACAGATGTTGAACATGACCACTAACTTTTAGTTTTTGGAGAGCAAGGAGAAACAATAAAAGTTTGGCAGGCCCTAACCAGGCCAGTCTCCTTACCAAAAAAGTGCCATTCTAGCACTGCATCTTCAGTCTCTGGGCATTGATGGAAGGCCTCCCATCTGATAAGGGATTTTGTTTACTCTTCATAGGAGGAAGAGCTGGCTACCCTGTCTGAGGAGGAGATCGCTATGGCTGTGACTGCTTGGGAGAAGGGCCTGGAAAGCTTGCCGTCTCTTCGGCCCCAGCAGAAACCAGTGTGAGTAGACACCAAGGAGTGGGACTTAGTTTCATAAGTGGAAATTGTTGATGGGAAGAACAAAGCAGGTCCTCTATACTCATGGGACTTTGACTCCAGTATGATAGACAGGTATTTACAGAACTGTTATGTATGTATAATTACAAATTTTGATAAATCCTATGAAAGAAAAGAACCAGGATCCTTGAGGGGCAAGAGAGTTTGTCTCATCTGGGTGCCAGTAGCTCACACCTGTAATCCTAGCTACTCGGGAGGCTGATATCTGGAGGATCATGATTCTAGGCCAGCCTGAGCAAATAGTTCATGACCCCATCTCCAAAATAACCAGAGCAAAATGGACTGGAAGTATGGCTCATGTGGTAGAGTGCCTGCTTTGCAAGTGCAAAGCCCTGAGTTCAAATCCTAGTCCCACTAAAAAAAAGAAGACTTTGACTCTTAAAAGGAATTGATAAAAGGCCAGTGACTGGAGGTTGGTTGGTAAAGGTACAAATAGGTCAGGATGTGGTGGGGTTTTTTTCTGGCGGTATTGGAGTTTGAACTCAGGGCCTCCCATTTGCTAGGCAGGTGCTTTTACCACTTGAGCCACTCCACCAGCCCCATTTTTGTGATGGGGTTTTTAGAGGGAGTCTCATGAACTATGCCTGAGGCTGGCTTCAAACCACAATGCTCTTGATCTCTGTCTCCTGAGTAACTAGGATTATAGGCATAAGCCACTGTGACTCAGCTGTATTTTGTTTGTTTGTTTTTTTGTGGTGCTGGGGATCAAACCCAAGGCCTTGTGCATGCAAGGCAAGTGCTCTATCACTGAGTAACACCCCCAGCCTAAGATGATTTTAGGGGGAAGCAGGGCTTATTTATGAAAAATTCTATAAATAAGCTATAAGTTTTAAATAACTTGTTGTAGCATATTGTTACAATTGTTCTGTTTTATTACTGTGGTTAATGTCTTATTGTACCTAGTTTATAAATTAAACTTTATCAGGTATGTGTATACAGGAAGAAACAGTATACCTAGGGTTTGGTACTGTCTCATTTCAGGCATCCACTTGGGTACTAAGACAAGTATCCCCAGGAAATACCACTCTATAATAGAATGTAACCCCCTTGAGGGTCAGAACCCAGGGCATACACAGTTATATGTCTGTCACAGTAGTTAGCACACTCAAGAGAGAATAAAGAAGTGATAGTTACCATCTTGAAAGCGCACAATCTCGTCTGATCTTGGAAGCTAAGCAGGGTTAGGCCTGGTTAGTACTTGGATGGGAGACCGCCTGGGAATACTGGGTGCTGTAGGCTTTAAAAAAAAAAAAAAGAATAAATAAATAAGTGACAGAATAATACAAAAGGTTTGCTACATGATTGTTAAAAAGTGATTAGGAACTCAGATGCAAGAAAGAGTGGGAGGCCAGTTGTCAGTGGAAAGATTTTCCTAAAGGAGCAGATTTCTAAGGTGGCTTTCAGAGACAATGGTGTTCAGTTATGGGGAGAAAGGCCAATGAATGCATGAGAAATTCATGAGATCTGTAGTGAGGAAATTAACTATAAAATGTTTTATGAAGCAGTTGGGCCATCTGACTGGGACATATAGCAGCAGCTGGGAAGAAGGGGTGAGGTTAATATGAGGGAATTGGGAGCCAATGATTACAGTATGAGAGTGGTTGAAAAGATGACAGGAACTTCAGTGAGGTGTCAGTGCTAAGGAGAGGGAATGATATAGGATGTGTACAGTTGAGCTTTCAAGGCTGATAAAGCATGAAAAGGAATACTGAATTGAGTGACTTCAGTCAGGAGATTAAGTGGCATGACTAGGAGTGATCCTGGGAGGAAATAGTAGCTGTGAAGGCAAAAGCTGGTACCTGCTGGTTCTAGTTAAACCATGAGGAAATGATGCTCATGGGTTAGGGAGAGAAGAGTCAAGGCTACAAAAGGTCTTGGTAAGACTTGTGTATGGGTGAGCTGTAAGGATTTCAGATAGTGACTTGGGGTGTTATTAACATAACACCTAGGGAAAAGGTCAGCAGTGAGAAACTTCTGGGCAGGCACTCTGCCACTTAAGCCATGTCTCCAGCCCAGCACTGGGAAATTTGTTGGGAGGAGTGAGAGTGGTGATGGTTGGACAGATCCTAGGGAGAGTTGTGTTGATACCTGGGAAGTCTGAGCCCGAGAAGGAGCTAAGGTCATGATAGTAAAGGGGAGAGAAATGAGTGCTGGCATGAGGCACACACAGCACATACAGAAGTACATGAGGCTTGTTCACTGTGGACAGGGTTTATATCAACAGCTGTAGGGGATCTTATGGTCTTGTGGGTTCATGTGAGGAAAGATTTTAGATGTACAGGAATCTACAATAGTAGAACAGTCCGTGTCTGCGTATTCTGTGTACTTTCAGTCTTTCTTGACCCTAACATTACCTCTTTGGGCTATTCTCTTCTGCCTTTCTTACCAGGTTGCCTGTGGCTGGGGAAAGGAATGTGCTCATCACCAGTGCCCTCCCTTATGTCAACAATGTCCCCCACCTTGGAAACATCATTGGTTGTGTGCTCAGTGCTGATGTCTTTGCCAGGTGGAGGCAGCTGCAGGAGACACCTTCCAAGGGAGGGATAGACCCCAAGGGAATAGAATGCCTCAAGGGTGGGGGCTGGAGGAGTTCTGGGGACAGGGGACCAGTTGAGTTGGGACTCCCATGATCACCATGTTCCATTCTAGGTACTCTCGCCTCCGCCAGTGGAATACCCTCTATCTGTGTGGGACAGATGAGTATGGTACAGCAACAGAGACCAAGGCAATGGAGGAAGGTCTAACACCTCAGGAAATCTGTGACAAGTATCATACCATCCATGCTGACATCTACCGCTGGTTTAACATCTCATTTGATATTTTTGGTCGTACCACCACTCCACAGCAGACTAAGTAGGTTTCCTCTAATGAGGCAGAAATGGTGGTTGAGGCTAGGGCTGGGGGCAATGAAAATATCATGGAGACAGAACTAGGGAGGCAGTCTAGGATCTTCCCCTAAAATTAGAATCTGAACATTGCCCTAAAAGGTACCCCAGATACTTATCAGGTCTTCTTGAAGAGATTCCATGTGGGCTGAAGCATGACTAGGGCCCGAGGGAGGGAAGAGACAGGACTTAACTGCCTTTCTTCTAGTACCTCTGTTTCTCTCTGACTGCCTCGGAGTCTTGAGACAGTTTCTGTAGCAAACACATTGGTTTTTCCTTTGCCTGATATCATCCTTATAAAAGCTACATAGCAGCCTGCCAGCTAATGATTCTGTATGTGCAGTTCAGTACTTTGGGCTGAGTGAAGAGTAGACAAAGTCCTGAAGGCAAAGCAGATGAATCTGGATTTAACAAAAGTGAATTGTGAAGTGCTGAGGGAAGAGACTGGATGGGCAGTTGGGGAGTTGTGTGAGCTTTATGGACTCATCCAGTAAAATTAGTGCAGAATGGATGATCTTTGCCCTTAAGTGCCTTCTGTCTGATTTCTTCAGTACTTGGCCTGAATAAGTTTGGGTCCCTGGTTGGAGTAGCAGAAGGGAAGGATGCACACTGTGCACTACTTGTGACTTTCTATCCCTTGCTCATCTTGCCAGAATAACCCAAGACATCTTCCAGCGGTTGCTGGCACGGGGTTTTGTGCTGAAAGATACTGTAGAGCAACTGCGGTGTGAGCACTGTGCCCGTTTCCTGGCTGACCGCTTTGTGGAGGGAGTGTGTCCCTTCTGTGGCTATGAAGAGGCCCGGGGCGACCAGTGTGACAAATGTGGCAAGCTCATCAATGCCATTGAACTCAAGGTGAGAAGAATGTCTTCTGGGAGCCAGGAAGGAAACAGTTTTTATTCTGAAGGCATTCCTAGTCTTGTCCCATTATTTTTAGCATCCAGTACTTTTTGCTAGTGGCCCCTTTGGCCTCATCTCAGCATCTGAGCACTTCTCATTTAGTTCGTTTGAAAAATATTCAGCATTTACTGTATGCTTAGGGATAGACAAGTTGAGTTTATACTTTTGATTTTAGGCCAATCTGATCAACATTAATTGAGATCCTTCCCTTCCATAAATACCTTTGTATTCTACTCCATGTTTACTCGTTTATTTGGGAAACTTTTGAATCCTTATAATTGACCAATTACAGTTGTAGAGGTGGAAATGAGGGAATGAACAAGACAGATGTTAATCTAATGTGGGGAGGAGACCAGCACTAAACAAGGAAATAATACAGGATAAATGGCCTGGAGGATGGGTACGGAGTGGGCTTTAACATTCTTCAGGTAAACTCTCAGTTCAAATGTTGCTTCAAAAGAGGCAACATTACCTGAGAGTTTACCTGAAGAATGAAAAGGGGCAAGCAAGGCAGTAAGTGGGTTTAAGACTGTTCCATGGGCTGGTGGAGTGGCTCAAGTGGTAGAACACCTTCCCAACAATCATGAGGCTCTGAGTTTGAGTCCCAGTACCACCCCCAAAAAAAAAAAAAAAAAAAAAAAAGCGTTCCAAGTAGAAGAGCCAGGAAATGCAAAGGCCCAGAGGCAGCAAAGAGCTAAAAAGGCCAGTGTAGCTGTGGCATAGTGGGAACAGGGCAAATTGAGATGAAGTTGGAGAAAAAGATAGGGACTAAGTCATCAAGGCCTACTAGGACATTGAGGAAGATTAGATTTTATTCTAGTTGGGTGGCAAGCTGCGAGGTGGGAAACTATGGGAAGGAAACGAGAGATGTGGGAAGAAGGGTTTGGAGACTGGAATCCAGAGAAGGGATGATGCTGGCTTGGAGTAGGTAAGTAGCAGTAAAAATGGGGAGAAAAATAGATTTGTGATACATTTCAGAAGAAGATTTTATAGTGAGGGACAGACTGAAATTTGGAGTAACCAAGAAAAAGACTAAATTTTTGGTTTGGGCTGGGGGTGTAGATCAGTGGTAGAACAATTGCTAGCATCAGCAAGGCCCTGGGTTTGGTCCCTAGCACCACACAAACAATTTTTATTTTGGCTTGAGTAGCTTGGGTAGATGGTATTGCCGTCTGCGGACAAGATTAAAACAGGTCTTCTTGCTGAATGCTCTGGTACTGTTTGGGTTTGCTAATCTTGAGATGCCTATATAAATCCAAGTAAGCAGTTGGACGTAGGCATGTGGAACCCAATAAACAGGTCATGAGAGAGTTGTTATTTTTCATCATCAAAACCCTACATGAAAACTCACTTGGGCCAAGTATCAATAGCTCATGCCCATAATCCTAGCTGCTTGGAAGGCTGAGATAGGGAGAGTCTTGGTTCAAGGCCAACCTGGATAAATAGTTCTTGAGGCTCTATCTTCAAAATAACCAGAGAAAGATGTACTGGAAGCGTGGCTCAACTAGTAGAGTGCCTGTTTTGTTTCTTTGATTAGCTCCACCTGTTTATTACTTTAGCTATCACCCTTCAGTGTTTATGTAGTCAATTTGTACCACAAATTTTTTTTGATGGTACTAGCACTTGAACTCAGGACCTCACACTTGATAGGCAGGTGCTCTACCACTTGAGCCACTCAGCCAGTACTTTTTTGTGTTGGGTATTATTATTTTTTTTTCTTTTGTGGTTTGGGGTTTGAACTCAGGGTCTACACCTTGAGCCACTCACTCCATTAGACCTTTTTTCTGAAGGGTATTTTTGAGATAGGGTCTGCCGAACTATTTGCCTGGAATGGCCTTGAACTTCGATCTTCTGGATCTCTGCCTCCTGATTAGCTAGGATTACAGTTGTGAGCCACCAGAGCCTGGGTATATATTGGGTATTTTTAAGATAGGGCTCATTTTTTTCTGGGCTGGGCTTAAACTTCAATCCTCCTGGTCTCTGACTCCTAAGTAGCTACGATTACAGGTGTGAACTACCAGGTCATAGAATTATTTTTGACTTTTTTTTTTAGTGGTATTGGGGTTTTTATCTTGGCCTCATGCTTGCTAGACAGGGGTTCTACCACACTTGAGCCACTCAGCTAGCCATTTTTTGTGTTGGGTGTTTTTGAGATAGGGTCTCAAACTGTTTGCCTAGGCTGGCTTCAAACCACAATACTCCTGATCTCTATTTCCCAAGTAGCTAGAATTATAGGCGTGAGCCACTGGGGCTGCACTCAAGAGGCAGAAGTAGGAGGATTGTGAGTCAAGGTCAGCTTGGTCTGCATATTGAAACGCTGAATCAAAAAATTTTGACATTTTGCTCTCTAAAGATCTGTGCTTGTTTCTTATGAAAGCCATCTCTTATTAACTTGATTGTAACCTCAAGGAGAGGGGTTGTGTCACTCTTTTGTCACTCATTTTGTCACTCATTCCTTGTATAGTGCTTTGTACCTAGCCTTTGCTCAGAGAATGCTTTTTCCTACTCTGAAGTGATGGACTAGAGAAGTGAAACTCTGAGGAACAAATGTGCAGACTTGAGTCTTGAAGGTCAAAGAAGGCCAAGTAGTTCAGGAGTGGGCTGGGCTAGGTGTGAGCCTGAAGCTAAGCCAGAAAGAAGACTTAGGTGCTCATCCCACTTTGTCCCCGAGCTTCCCAGTGCCTGCAGTCCTGATCTCGCCCATCCCACGCTGGGTTAACTCTGGAATTTTCTTTCACAGAAACCTCAGTGTAAAGTCTGCCGGTCATCCCCTGTAGTGAAGTCCTCCCAGCACCTGTTCTTGGACTTGCCTAAGGTAAGCTGGTCTTTTCCTCAACCCAGTCTTTAGAAGGCTGCTTCTGCACTCTTTTACCTCAACCACACATACTGATAGCCAATTACTCTCAAATGTTTTTAATTTCTATTAAAAATTATGCATGACTGGGCATGGGTGGCACATGCCTGTAAACCCAGCACTCAAGAGGCAGAGGTAGGAGGATTGTGAGTTCAACGCCAGCCTGGTCCACATATTGAAACCCTGACTCAAAAAACAAAAAGAACAAATACCAAAAATACTGCGTGTAATATTGTAAAGAGATGAAGCAGATTAAAGAGCACAGAGTGAAAGCCCCACATCCATCAGGCCCCAGGCCTACTTTTCAGAAGTATTTTCTGTTTTTGTTTTCCTGTTTCTTTGTTTTTGCAGTATTTTTTTGCAGTTTGTTTTTGAGGATTGAACTCAATTCAGGTCCCTGTGCTTGTTAGGCAAGTGCTTTACCACTTGAGCCATGCCCCTTGTCTACCATAAATATTTTCTACTGTGCATTTTCCTTCTGTTCTACTCAGAAATGTCATATGCATATTAAAGGGTGTTTATGACTCTTGCCTTTTCTTAATACAAATTACATTATACCATTCACACTCTTTTGCAATTTGGCTTGCTTTTATTTTTGAATGTAATTTTCCACAAGTATGTCCTTTTTTTTCTTACTTAGTTTTATTTGGAAATAATTTTAAGCTTGCAGAAAAATTTACAAGAATAAACTTGCTAGAACAAAGAAGCACTTGTTCTTTAACCAAAAGAGCCTCATATCCGTTACTAGATTCAGTTAGGGTTTTGCTCCATTTGTTTTAAGCATACATGTTGTCTCTCTCCCTCTTTCTTTGTCCCATCTATGTCCATATATAGTCTCTTTAGTCCCAAATATTTTGTATTTCCTAACAAGACTTTTTCTTTTTTATTTCATTATTTAGAGAGTACATATATTTAATATGGTACATTACCCTGTACAAATGGAAAGAGTTAAGTTTAATGTTTGTATACCAATATGGCTACTTGTAATTTCTGTACAATGCCAACTTAACATGGTAAACTGGGATAGTTTTTTCAAAGTTTGACAGTATGTCAGATGCTTGTGGCTCACTCCTGTTATCCCAACTACTCAGGAGTCAGAGATGAGGAGGATCATGGTTCAGGGCCAGCTGGGAAAATAGTTTGCCAGATCCCATCTTGGAAAAACCCTTCACAAAAAAGTGCTGGTGGAGTGGCTCAAGGTGAAGGCCCTGAGTTCAAGCCCCAGTACTGCAAAAAAAAAGTTGACAGCACAACAAAAATTTCTAAAAATTCAAATTATATGTGTATGTATTTATGTTTGTATTTATATAAAAGACCAACAGTAGCAATGTGTTATGCATCAACAGATTTCTAGGTTCTGCAGTCATCTGAACAAAATTATAGAGACATCCAGCACACTCCATTAGCTAAATAAAACAAAACAAAAAGAGGTTTTTAAAAAAAATACAGAAAAATAGCAAAGTTCAGTTACTGTTATTGTATCTGGTACCATTTTTTTTTTATTAGCTTCTCTAGCATCATCTGGAAAGAAAAATTCTAGAGTAATATCACTAGATGACTCTGACAAAGCATAGTCACTACTTCATATCATGAAGCAGGTACAAGATACTTTATGTTCAGCAGTATGATACCATACTGTCCTACATCTATAATACTAGAGGATACAGTAAAAAGGCATTGAGACTTGTTCTACTTTTCCAGCAGAGGTCCCAAAGTATGGTTTAACAAGACATTTTCTTGCATAACCACAGTATAATTATCAGCACCAAGGAAGTTAGCATTAATATATTTGATCTAATCTACCATCCGTACTCTAATTTTGTGAATTGTCTCATCCCTTTTTTTGCCCTCCTTTTTTGTGGTGCTGGGGTTTTAAACCTAGGACATTGTACATTCTAGACATGTGTACCACCTCTGACCCTCACCCTTAGCCCCTAATTTATTTTTATTTTTCGTAGCGCTGGGGCTTGAACCCAGAGTAGGGTCTCCCACATGTAAGGGAAGTGAGCAATCTACCACTGAGCTATACCCCTAGCCCCAGTGATATTCTTTATAGCATTATTTTATTCTTTTAATATAGGATCTAGTTCAGAATCATGTATTATGTTTAGTTCAGTTTAGTTTTGTTTTCTTGATCGTACTGGGAGTTGAACTTAGGGCCACGAGCTTGCTAGGCAGGGGGCTCTGCCACTTGAGCCATGCCCCCAGCCCTTTGTGCTTTAATTATCTTTTGGATAGTGTCTCAGTTTTTGCCAGGCAGGCCTGGATCACCATTTTCCTCTTTATGCTTCCCACATACCTGAGATGACAGGTGTGTCTGGCCACACCCAATTATTTGTTGAGATGAGGTCTTGTAACTTTTTGCTGGGATTGATCTTGAACCTCAATCCTTCAACCTTATTTTTACCTCCTGAATAGCTAGGATTTTAGGTGTGAGCCATTGTGCCTGGCCTGCATTTAGTTACTTATAGCTCTCTAGTTTCCTTTCATCTGAAACAATTTCTCAGCCTTTGTCCTTTATGACATTAATTTTTTTTGGTGGTACTGGAGATTGAACTCAGGGCCTCATGCTTGCTAGGCGGGTGGTCTACTACTTGAGCCATACCTCCAGCCCTGTTTGCTGTAGTTATTTTTTTGAGTAGATTCTCTCTTTTATGTCCAGGCTGATGTGGACCACAATCCATGTAGCTGGGATGACAGGCATACACCACCATGCCCAGCTTTTTACTGATTGAGATGGGGGTCTTAGGAACTTTTTCCTGGGCTGGCCTTGAACCACAATCCTCCTGATCCCCACTTCTCAAGTAGCTGGGGTCACTGTGCCTAGCCACATTAACATTTTTTTAAAGAATGCAGGTCCTATCCCCCTTTTCAAAGTAGAATATTCCTTATTTTGAATTTGTTGGGTATTTTCTCATAGTAGGATTCAGATTATGCACTCTTGGGGTGGAGTTTTCATGAAGGATACTGTGTCCTTTCTAGGAACACAAGATGACCATCTACCTCCTCATTGTTGATGCTGTTTTGTTTTAGCCAAGATGTTACTCAGGTTCTGCACTGTATCATTAATATTTTCCCCTTTGCAACTTATGAGCAGTCTGTGGGAATGTTTTTTAAGACCATTGAAATACTTTGCTCTTCATGAACAAAATGTTTCCTTTAAATTTGGCATCAATTGATCTTTCTCACTAGAAACAATCTACATCTCCCCCTTGATGATAAGGCGAGCCCTACCAGAATAAAAACCCCTGTGAGGGGCAATCTCCTCACTCCCAGAGTGGCCCAGGGGGAGAGAGGCTACCTGAGGGGAAGTGCAAGAAGGACCTGCTGCACACTTGCCTAGCAATCATGAGGCCCTGTGTTCAATCCTCAGTACTGAAAAAAATTTTTAAAAAGGCAGAATGTAAGGTGAGGTGGTGCATACTTACAATTCCAGTATTCTGGAGACTGAGGCAGGAGGAGAATTGCAAGTTCAAAGCCAGCCTGTACTATATAGCAAGACCCTCTTTCAAAACAACAAAAACAAACAAAAAAACAAAACAGGAAAAGGATCTGTTGCAAAAGGTCTGCTATAGGTGCTGGAATCTGTGAGTACTACAGGAGGAAATGGAGCATGGTGGGGGTGGCTCCAAGCACACAGGCAAAGGGCAAAAGACTGGGTTTCTGCTCCTTCTCATTTGAACTTTTTCTGCCTCTGCTGCATGATCTCCAAGTTCCTCCGCTTGTAGATGGCAGCAGGGTAGTAGCAGGAAGCTTGTTATATTGGTGCTTTCCCTTAACCAATCTGCTCTGCTTTTTCACATTCTTCTGGCCCAAGATCATCCTGGTTTCTGCAGGTCATGCAATGGCAGCAGTACCTCTGTTGTGTTTCTTTTGTTCTGTGCCACCCGAACCAATCTTTACCATGGTGATTTTCCAGCTCTGCCACTCCCCTTCACTTCTTTATTTCTTCATTTCTTTATTTAGTTATTTATTACTAGTGTAGATTCATAGATTTCTATTTTTCAATGGTTTATTTTTTATGTTCAAATTATCCCTCTTCAAGATGCCTTCTATGCTTTTGAGGTCTCCATCATTGGCTTAATTTCTCACATAACAAGATACTCTAGGTTTTTTTTTTTCAGCCTTGGAATGAACCCTGTCTCCATAAAGCCCTGATTTGTTTTAGTAGGAAATAGTATTAGAGTCAGAAATCCAGGTGGTAGGTATGCTCATTGCTACCTGGGGTATCTTTGCTTCTAGGCCCTTGCAGCAGAGAGAGTTACTTTAGATTCACATCGACACCTGCAATTCTAGTATAGCTTCACAGGATTCTTTCTTACTTCCTTTTATTTCATTTTGTTTTTCCTTTTTAAATTGTACAAAAAGGTTTGTTGTGATACTTCATTTCATATTTGTATCTTGCTTCTTACACAGTAGGTACCCACCTTCTCAACAAGAGCACATTTACTGAGCTGGCAGAGTGGCTCAAGTGGTAGAGTGCCTGCCTGGCAAGTGTGAGGCCTTGAGTTCAAACCACAGTACTACCAAGGGAGAAAAAAAAAAAAAGCACATTTACTCAATCCTATAGTACACCTAAAACGATTTTAGAATTTCGTCTCCCATACTTCAGACTGAGGGTATATAGTTAAATAATGTGTTTAAAATGTACTTGGATTAGTGTTTTCCCCCTTCAGTGGTGTTATATTACTGAAATAAGTTAATAGGTTGCATACTGTGTGTGTGTGTGTGTGTGTGTGTGTGTGTGTATTTTTTGCATGTTTGCTTTTATTTCACGGTTTATTTTAGAAATTACTTCCTATTCATAGAAATCATTGTCATTCATTATTCATTTGTTTATTTATTTAAGACAGGTCTTGCTATGTAGTTCATACTGGCCTTGAATGCATGATCCTCCTGTCTCAGTCTCCTGAGTGCTGGAATTACAGGTGCGAACCACCACATCCAGCAGTTTAATTTTAATAACTGTACAATATTCTATTCTGTATAGATACTATAGTTTATTCAATCAATTTCCTATGTTCTTTATTTAGGCAGTTTCCAGTATTTTGTAATTATATATAATGTTACAATGATTAACCTTAGGTGTATATATTTTTGCATTGTTGGAAGTGTATCTTTAAAATAAATTCCTATGCACAGGCCCTGGGTTTGATCCCTAGTACCACACACACACACACACAAAATTCTTAATAGTGATCATGTGTTGTATTTAGGGTGAATAGAGATTAGGATATGTAATATATTGCCAAATTTACCTCAGTGGATGTTGCACCATTTTGCATTCCCACCAGCAGTGTGTGTGAATGTGCCTCCATAATCCTAACAGCAGAATACGTTGTCAGGCATCAGAAGCTTGCCCCATTCTTTTTTTTTTTTTTTTTTTTGGTGGCACTGGGGGTTTGAACTCAGGACCTCACACTTACTGAGCAGGCACTCTTATCACTTGAGCCACTCTGCCAGTGCCCCATTCTTCTACTTTATTTTATTTATATTTTAAATTAATTAGCATATTATAGTTGTACATTGTGATATTTACAAAAATGCTTACAGTATATCTTAGATTTACCCCCTCCATCTTCTCCTTCATCCCCGTTCCACCCCCCCTCCCTTTTTTTTTTTTTTGGGACACGGACTGGGGTTTGAACTCAGGGCATTACGCTTGCTAGGTAGGCACTTTACTGCTTGATCCACTCCTAGCCTTTTTTTGTGATTTTTTTTTTTTTTTTGGCAGCACTGGGGTTTGAACTCAGGACCTCACACTTGCTAGTCAGGCACTTTACTGCATGAGCTACTTCAAGCCCTTGATTTTTTTTTTTTTTGGGGCGGTACCTATGGGGTTTGAACTAAGAAGTGCGCCTAAGAGCACTTTTAAGCCTAGCCCTTGGAGGCCTCCATGATATCTTTTGAGATAGGGTCTGGAAACTTTTGCCCTGGATTCTCCCTGATTTCGATCCTGAGTTGCTAAATAAAAGGCATGAGCTAATAGTGCTGGCAAGCATTTTCTTAATGTTACACCTTTGTGTGACATATCATTAAGATTCACTACACTAATACACTACAGTAATATATCTTATCATCAATTCACTGGTAAAGTGGAAGATTGGTGCTCGATAATCAAATAAGTAAAGAGTCTTGTATTATGTCCGTAAAAAGCCACTGCTCCAAATGAAATTAACTCATTTGTGAGTCATTGTACGCTAACTGTGTTTGAGACTGTCCTGTATCCTTTACTTATAGAACCTTCAGTTGAATAGCACAGAGAGGAGTGGAGTGGGAGAAGACACTACTGGGGCAGTGACCCTGGACCCATGGCCACATCGGCTCGGAGCTTTCTTCACTCTCTGTTCTTGCTTCGGTGATGACAAATAGAGTCAAGCCGCAACGTGCACTTCAGTGAGAAGGAGCGGCCTATTAGCTGTTCACAAAGACGTGGAGTTGAGGGTAAACCTGCACACTAACCTTAGAATCACAGGTGTTTATCATAATGACGGCCGAGGATACGCAATCAGTTCTGCTTTATAAGCGCTTTTATGAATTTCGGTGGGGTCCGGTCAAAGGTCGAGCTTATGCCTTAGGGAGACGGGTCGGGAAGTATTAAGAGGGACTGATATAGATGAAGCTGTTAATATGGCACTCACGTTTACTGTAGGTTATCAGGTCCTTAGACTGGGTTTGTAGAGATAGAGTTTTTCTTCTCTTGAGCCCTCCCAGGTTATCTCATTAATGTCTGTTTTGATGCCATGACTTATTTGGCTATCCTGGTCCATACAGCCACTACATCAGACCAGTGAGGAGAGGTGTGGCAAGAATCCCAGAGCAAGTGAGCGTTTCTTTTTTTTTTTCTATACATTGTATTCGAGTCTGTGCGAGTGTTTTGGGTCATTTCTCCCCAAGTGAGCATTTCTTGATTAGCCTAACTATGAGGAGGTGGTGTGTAGCAGGAGTTGTCATGGTTGATGGATATCTGGGCTTCTTGGGCTTTTAAAGAAAGTCTCAGGAAATCTCTCTTCCAATTAAACAGTAGAACTAGAGCCCATCTATAGTGCTCTGTTAGACATTCCTTTACCAGTTCATGGGCGAATGGAAGTAGGACACACTAAGCCTGTTAGAGGGGGCTTAGTGATGTGTGTATGGCCCTGATCCAGACCCTAGGCTGAGGACAACTACACCTTGGTCAAAAACCTCATTGGCTACAGTAGGCTAATGTTAGAAGGTTGCCTACTGAGTCGGATAGGTGATTTAGTCAGATAGTTTGTTTGAACACGAGGTAGGAGATCCTGGATGAAGGGTTGGCCTAAAGTCCTTAAGATAGGAGAGTTTGAGGAATATGTTAGCAATAAATTCAGCTTAAACTATAAAGAATGTTATTCTTCCAGAGGGAATAAGATAATCTTGAAGAAAGGCGAACAAGTCCAAAGCTAAATGAGCACTGTAGAGGTAACTGTTCTATCAGCATGAAAATAAGGAGGCACTAGAATGGTATAGTGGAGAGGCCCGCACTTCCCAGGTTTTATGTGTAGCATATTCAAGCACGGTATTGCTGGATACCCACCAAAGAGGGATAAGGATGAAGAGTCAGTGGATCAGAGAGGGGAAAGATGTGATTTGAGCAGATGGTTCTTTCTTCTTTTCTGTTCAGAGTACCTGAACTATGAAGATGGGAAATTTTCTAAGAGCCGGGGTGTGGGAGTATTTGGAGACATGGCCCAGGACACAGGGATCCCTGCTGACATCTGGCGTTTTTATCTGCTATATATTCGGCCTGAGGGCCAGGACAGTGCCTTCTCTTGGACAGACATGCTTCTTAAGAATAATTCTGAGCTGCTTAACAACCTGGGCAACTTTATCAACAGGTAGGACTAGGTGGAGGATCAGAGTCAACAGATGAACTGGGAAGATGGGACTGTGGAGAGAACTACTAAGTGGTCAGGAGGCTGTGAGTGATGGAAAGGACAATGTGGAAAGTTGATTTTATCAATTAGAATCTGCTAGCACTGAGTAAGCTATATATGCTAGAGGGAATAGTTCGTTGTAGAGATGTGATTTAGCACAGTTGATCACAAAGTGATTTTTTTTTTTTTTAGGGTTTGAACTCAGGGTTTCACACTTGCAAAGCAGATACTCTACTGTTTAATCCACACCTCCAGTCCATTTTGCTTTGGTTATTGTGGAGATGGGGTCGCACAAACGATTTGCCTACACTGGCCACAAACTGTGATCCACCTGATGTCAGTCTTCCAGATAGCTAGGATTACAGATGTGAGCCAGTGACATCAGCTCAGTGATTTTTATTTTTTCAGTGATACTGGGGTTTGAACTCTGGGCCTTGTATTTCCTATGCAGGAACTGTACCACTGGAGCCACAACCCAACCCTTCTTAAAAATGTAGAACTGGAGATCCATTTTTCTCCTCACAAAAAAATTCACCTGCATGGCTGGTGGAGTGGCTCAAGTGGTAGAGCACCTGCCTAGCATGAGACCCTGAGTTCAAATCCCAGTACCACCAAAAAAAATAAAAATAAATAAAAAATGACCAATGGTTTCTTTAAAAAAAATTTCACCTTCAGATAATTAAAAATTTTGGCTGAAAAAAGGGATTTTTGTGTAGAAATATGACACTTCTGTTGTACTCTTCAGAATTGTTACCTTAGACTCAATGTACTGTTGACCCCTATCACAGCAGTTCTCCAATCTAAAGAAATATTCTGGGGAGGGGCGGGGGAGCTGGAGGCGTGCACAAGTGGTAGAGCATGTGCCTTGCAAGCACAAGGTTCTGAGTTCAAATTCCAGTAGTGCCCGCCTCCAAAATTTCATATTGCAGTACTGGGGTGATGGCCTTGCAAATGCAAAACCCTGTGTTTGATCCCTAGTACCAAAACCAGAAAAATCCTCTATAGAGTTCTTTGCTCCCTCTTTGAGCCCTGAACCTTTAGCAGTCTTCATTTTTAATAGGAATTAACAAATTTTTTAATGTGAACATCCAAAATATTCTTTAATATGTAGTTGCTTATCTTTATCATCAGGTTTATGTGCAGTCACCTTCTTAGGGATGAGAGAGAATAAAAAAATTTGTTAAAACTTTGCCTTTAGCTTGAGGGGCCCAGAAATGTCAGTTCTGGGCAGAAATCCTAAAAGAATGAAGAGTTGTTGAAATGAGGTCAGATTTCTGTAAGGAGACTGGGCAATAACTCCTGTTTTCTCTTTCCTTCCTTATGTCCATCAAGAGCTGGGATGTTTGTGTCTAAGTTTTTTGGGGGCTATGTGCCTGAAATGGTTCTTACCCTTGATGATCAGCGTCTGCTGGCCCATATCACCCTGGAGCTCCAGCACTATCACCAACTGCTGGAGAAGGTTCGGTGAGTAATCTACATTTGTGTCTCATGTCAGTGATCTGCTGGCAGGATGAGCATCCCATATACCCTGCTGCCTTCTCCCTTCCCAGGATCCGGGATGCCTTACGCAGTATCCTCACCATATCTCGACATGGTAACCAATACATTCAGGTGAATGAGCCTTGGAAACGGATTAAAGGCAGTGAGGCTGAAAGGTATGTTAAGGGAGTAGTGCTGGCTTCTGGAATTAAGTGGCTGGTAGGCTGTGTCCTCTTGGAGGTCTTAACTAATCTCTCTTTTCCCCCAGGCAGCGGGCAGGCACAGTGACAGGCTTGGCAGTGAATATAGCTGCCTTGCTGTCTGTCATGCTCCAGCCTTTCATGCCTACGGTTAGCGCCACCATCCAGGCCCAGCTGCAACTCCCACTTCCAGCCTGCAGGATCCTCCTCACAAACTTCCTGTGTACCTTACCAGCAGGGCACCAGATTGGCACAGTAGGTCATTGAGAATTGGAGAAATTCATGTTTTGTCATGCAGCTTTTGGGGTGGGGTTAGAGAAGCTCTAACATGTCTCCAGCTTTGGGGCATGGGGCTCTTAGAACTGCTCTCAGTCCTCCCCACTCAGCACTTGGGCTTACTTCTGATATAAGGTTATTGGTATTGGTTCACAAGCATAGTGTTGTTTGCTTTTCATGCCATAAATCAGTATCCAGTACATAAAATAGCCAGTGGGCTTGGAGAATACAGGGGTAGCCATTTCTTCTTTGACACAAATACATCCTAAACTTGTAGATCAATTTAGCATCATTACATAACTTGAGGCTTTTGAACTGCTGCTTTTCCTGAATGCTTTCCTAAAACCAGGAAGTATTTGCTCAGTGTTTTTCTACAACATTTAGAATTTCTAAATGTCAGAGTAGGATTAAAAAGGCCACCCTGTATAGTCTGGTTGAGTTTATACCTAATCGGTGAGTGATTCTGGAATTTGTTTTCACAGGTCAGTCCCCTGTTCCAAAAATTGGAAAATGACCAGATTGAAAGTTTGAGACAGCAATTTGGAGGGGGCCAGGTGAGAAAACTAAACTGTGCTCTCATCTAGCAACTGCCATAGTGGCACCACATTAGTTTCCCCAGGTAGTCCTCACTCATTCTTTTTCCATCTTTTTGGTCCTGCTTCTTTCCTTACTTAGTTTTTCTTTCCTGTCTTAGCTAGAAGAGTCCTTGGAGTTAAAGGTAACCACTTCTCCCTTGAGATGTTATAAAACTGGAGGTCAGGGGTTATTTGTGGCAGCTGGTGATAATCCTATTGTTCCTCTCCAGGCAAAAGTGTCTCCCAAGCCAGCAGTTGTAGAGACTGTTACAACAGCTGGGCCACAGCAGATACAAATATTGATGGATGAAGTGGCAAAACAGGTATGAAGCATAGCCTTATGAGAAAGTGGAAAAGCTGAATCCTAAACAGATCCTTTCCTGGTCTCACTGTTATTCCTCCTACCCATGCTTCTCTTAGGGCAACATTGTCCGAGAACTGAAAGCACAAAAGGCAGACAAGAACCAGGTTGCTGCAGAGGTGGCTAAACTCTTGGATCTAAAGAAACAGTTGGCTCTAGCAGAGGGGAAACCCCTTGAAACTTCTAAAGGCAAGAAGAAAAAGTGAGAACTTGCTCATAGAAAGTCACTTTACTGGATATGGACAGTAATTAATAAATGTACAACCTACATATACAAGCCAAGACCCTTCCTTTCCTTTGGTCTATCCCAAGTCTTCCCCCTTTTGAACACGTGGTTAAGGGTCACATCATTGACATGGGTGTGATAATGGTCAGTAGCTACTTCTGGGAAAGGTAGGTAGTAGCTCAAGTTGGGGAGTGATGGTTCCAGTTGTTCATGCTTGGTGCAGATTAACCATTCGGTCAATCAAAGCTCGGCGTGTTGCCTCTACTTCCTTGGTCAGGCGCTCGATTTCCTGCTTGAGCCGTTCATTTTCTTCAGCTAGCTGTGCCACTTTCTTTTCATTCTCCTGTTCTTTTTCCTTCATGCGTTGCTTCCCAACCTGGGCTGGGCACTGGATACTTTGTTTCCGCTTCCTGGTTCTTCTTTGGTCTTCTTCCTCTTCCTCCTGTGCCAGGGAGCTCTGACTGGAGTCTGGAGAAGAATGAGGGCTGTGGGAGGTGCTTGTGACCTCTGCTGGTCCTGGCTCCTCAGTCAGCCAAGCTAGAGATGCAGGGTCAAGAGTGGTAAAGGTTTTTGATTCTTCCTTCAAGGAAATGATGAAAGAGAGGTGATATTAGTTGAAGAAAGAAAGGTAACCTCTATCCCCACTTGTAGGACTAGCACTCTCACCTCTTCATTTCCCGGGAGTGAGATATAAGTACCCCCGTTTTCATCTGAGGATAGGACCTCTTGCAGGTCCTCATACCAGGCTTCCAGCTCCCAGCTAGACACTGTCCCAAAGGAGAAAGGCAATGACTCAGCTGCCATCTCTGCAGTTGGATCAGATTCTGGAAAAGTACATACTCAGGATAAAAGCTCCACCATACCACAGGTTGGCAAACGTCTCTTGCCTCTCACTATGTAGCCCAGGCTGGTATGGAACTCATGATCCTCCTGGCTCAGCCTCCCAAGTGCTGGGATTACAGATACCTACCACCATACCTGGCCCTATAGGCTAAGTTTATTGGAATACAGCCACATCCATGTGTTTATGGCAGTACAATAGCAGAGATGAGTATTGATGACAAAGACTACATAACCTTAAATAAATATCTAAAATATCTACTCTCTGGGCCTTTAAAATTTGCCAATCTCTAGTCTATATTAATATTACTTTTTTGGTTATAGAGATTGAACCCAGGGCCTTGCACATTGCTAAGTACATACTCTAACATGACTCCCACACCAAAACTAGTATTTCTTCCTTGCTTTTTGCCCAGGACTTAAAGAAGCAAAATACCTGGTACTCTTTTGGGGCTCAAACCCAGGGTCTTAAGCACATTAGGCAAGTGCTCTACTTACTAAGCTACATCCTCAGACCAGCCTAAATACGGATTCTTATGGGATCCTAGTAAAAGTACTCAGCTCATTTGGAAACTCCATTAGTAATTTCTAAGACAATTACCAGACCATTTGTACCACTTTCTCCTGTGTGGGGAGCTTGGGAAATGGTCCTTTGAGTTCATCTAACTTTGATGGGCACTTAGGGTTGGTAAGATAAACCAATTGTCTTTCTTGGGACTTTTTTGAGAGTCATCTTTCAATTAGGAAATGCTTTAAAAATAGTGATTTTATCATCTTGTTATGGAGCCAGCCAGCTAGGATAGACATGGTCTGACAGCAGATCTTCCTCACATCATTCACACCTTCATCTCCTACAGTGGCTAGAGCTTTTTTTTTTTTTTTTTTTTAAGGCAGCACTGGGGTTTGAACTCAGGGCCTCACACTTCCAAGACAGGTGCTCTTATCACTTGATCCATACTGCTAGCTCCAGTGGCTAGGTCTTTTAATAATTTCTTAGGATCCCAGCAAAGGGAGTCTAAGCAGCATTTCTTAGAAGTTGATTTGGGGAAAGGGTTGGTTAAATTTACCTGCTTTCAGGTGTGGTGATGTATGAAGATACACTTTCTTCTGGAACACTGTGGAAAACAAAGATAAGTGTTAGCCATTTCTGAAAGGAGGAGAGGCAGGTAGTTTTTTTTTTTTTTTTTTTTTTTCCTCCAGCTTTCTATTGGTCTCTCCTATTTTATAGGCTGTGGATAAAGGGTCCTGTAGCCAATTCCAAGCACAGAAGTTCAACTTCCTTTATTTTTAGTTGCTGAGATTTGTGGTCCTAATTACATAATAGCAGAGTCCTGGCCAACTCAGCTTTCTCTAAATTCAAGACAGGGTTGCATCTTGCTAGGATAATGACTAAACTACAAGGAAGGGAAAAATCTAGTAGTATTTTCCTAATCCCATTCCCATATTGACATCCTTCAAATACCCATTTGCAGTCTGGACCTCTCCTGGGACTGCCAACTCTGCTGGCTACTGCTTATTTGCCATTTCCTTTTGGATGTCTAACAGACATTTAGATTATGTCCAAAGAATAGCCTGTTGATCTTTCCCTTCCAAGGTCATCCTCATCTCACTAAATGGAAACTCTTGTTGCTTAAACCAAAAACCTTGGACTCACCCTTGACTGCTCTCTCCTCAGACCCCCCAACTTAATCTAGAGCTCTAACCTATTTCCTTAACTTGTTTTTAAAAAATACTCAGAACCTAAACAATTTTTACTATTCTACTGTTTCTAAATGTGGACCAATTTACCATCATCTCTCCCTTGGATTACTCTGGAAGCCTCCTTCCAGGATGTCTTCCCAGTTCTGCTCTTGCAACCCCCCACAATCTATTTATGAATACAGAAGCCAGAATGAGTCTTTTTTTTCCTTCTTTCTTTCTTTGTAGTGCTGGGGGTTGAACCCAAGGCTGTGCACCTTCTAGGCAAGCACTCTTCCACTGAGCTATATACCCAGCCCTCATAAAATTTAAGTTATTCTTCTGCTAGAATCCTCCTACTTAATGCATATTAAAAACTAATATCCTCAAAATGGCTTGCAAGGCTCTACACAATCTGCTTCCCTGCCTCAGTTTTCATCCACCACACTCCCTCTTGCTCATTCTAATCTAGCCTAAAGATAACCAGGCATGAGCCCATCTTCAGGCCTCTGCCCTAGTCCTTCTGGAAAGCTCTACATTATCTTCATGGCTCACTGGCCTGCCTCCTTTGAGTCTTTGATTTTGATGTCATCTCAGTGAGTTAATTCCTGACAAAAAACTAACCCTCACCCTGAACATTGTTTTTCTGCTTTAGTTTTCTCTGTGACACTTCTGCCTCCTACTGAAGTATAAGCTTTCCAAGAGCAGAGATTTTTGGTCTTTTATTCAAAATGTACCTGAGCCTCAAGCTACAGTGCATATAGTAGGTACTTAATAAATATTAGGACTGGATGGACAAATCCACCTCACACCCCCCCCAACCCCCAGTCTCACTTATAGGGGAAGACTAAACCCAGAGTCAGAGCAGCTGCTGTCTGTCTGTCCCTGGGGACTGGAGATGCAATACTGCCCTGAATGTTTCTCTGCAGGGCTGTCCTCTCTGGGGACACTACCTTGCCTTCAGTGTGGTATGTGGCTTTCATCAGCAGTGCTAAGCCCCAGGCCAGAGGGCTGCAGAGCTAAACAGTGGGTGTCCTGATGCAATGGTTACACAGAGATTAGTTGGAAGACAGGACAAGGAAAGGCATGGATCAAGCCCAGGAGAAGGGCAATACCCTGGGGAGACCCCAAATGGCCCCCCCACACTTGAAGAGACCCAAGTTGCTCTTTTGTGCGAAGGCCCAGAGACCTGGGAAAAGGAAATCCATCTATACGCTCCCAGTGCATTAGTACGCCTGCTCCCAAAGGGGTTCTCGAGTTTCTCCTGTCCTCTGCAGGGTCTAGAAGCCCCGGCTACGAAGTGGCCACGCTGGCCCCTAAGGCGCTGCAGCGGAGAGCGGGGAGTGGGGTAGAGGGAATGGTGCTGGTGGCAAAGCGGCGGAAATGGCTTGAGCCACCGTCACTGGGGGTGTGTCCCTGCTACCCCGCCTCTCCCCCGACAGGCCTAATGAGGTGCCTGGAGTCGGCAAGAGGAGAGAATGAGTTTTCCGAGGGCAGTCGAGGTCCCTTCTCCCAGCAGCACAGCAGGGCCCATGGTCCGGGTACGGGTGGAATGACGCTGTTGCCTAAAGGAAGAGGGACCTGTAATGAAGCCCCACTCCTGTATAAAAGATTTCCCCACCCCTCCGTCTGACGGTCTACCTAAGTTCACTGCGGAGGGAGTTGGGGAACGTCCTACAAAACGGACGCCGTAATTCTTGGGACAACGGATGTTCACGAAGATGGGAAGGAAAAGGGTAGATAGGGAGTCAGTACTCGCCTCTCTCCTCAGGTTCCGATTCTGATTTTGGCTCTGTCGCTGCCACCCGCTCATCTTCAACATGATACACTCTATGCGTTACCCTCAAGCTTCTGACCTCTGGAGCGCAGAGCTGTGCTCTTTTACCATGGCTTTGCCCTCCTCTCGGGGGTGGGATCCAGAAGCCTGCCAATCAGAAAGCGGCACGCCGGCATTGGCCCCGCCTTATCCCTTGCATCCGCCATTCAGGAGCCCTGTGGCACCGCCCCCATCTCTCCCTCCCACTTGGGGGTCGACGCTGTCTGGGACCCGGAAGTGGCTTTGGGTCACGAGGCTCCGCGGAGGAGGTGGGTGAGTCATGCGCGCGCGCGGAGGGTAGCGTGAAGGGGGAAGGGAGGACGGGGAGGCGGGGATGATGCAATGTTTGGCAACCGGTGTTTGCGCGCGCACGCGCAGGGGACAACGAGGGTGGTGGGAGGTGCAGGGGGGTGGGGGAGAGAGGGCGGGGCGCCAGCTCCCAGCATCCAACCGCTCCAACGGCTATCAACCGTGGCTGCCTCTAGGCTGCGGTGCCCAACCTCATTGCAGCGTTCCTGCCTCATTACCCTAGTTTTACCTCCCTCCATAAGAAACTCCTATTTTCCTTGGCCCCTCCCAGCTACTGGACACATAGACCCTTGAACCTCTCTTCTTTTAAAGTTTGCATTTGTTCACCTGGATTGACATCTTCTCGAATCTTAAAAGATTTAGCCTCCTTATGTCCTCCAAAGGCCGAGGTACTTGATAGTCCTTTTCCGCTTCTCACAGAACACCTTTGACTTTTGTTTCTGACTAGTCCTCGGCCTGCCAGAATTCATGTTCTTTGTCAAGTGTACCCGATTCTGCTTTCCCACTTTCTCCCAGCCCCATGGTGCTCTTGAGCACTTCACCAAAGACCAAGACACCCTCCTTTTTCACTGTCCCAGTTATCAAGTCCTATGACTCCCCACTGAAGAGCTGGCCTCCTGTTTTCTAGGTGTCTGGGGTCATGACCTACAGTAGACCCTTGTTGCTTGAGACGTGCGTGCACTTGAGCGCACGACTGCTTTGAACTGGTTGTCAGGAACCCATATTCTAGCCTCAGCTCTCCTTCACTTGCCCCAGAGCTCCTACCGTTCTCATTTGTAAATAAAAGAAAGAAACGTGAAGGTAAAATGAACTGTGAACTTGGGAGGCAACTTGAACAAAAGTAAAAGCATCATGTAAAATGAGTATTCTTCTTGTGCTGTGAAAACGGCCATGTGGTCGCCTGTTAGGTATCCTGTCATCTCGTGGGTGCAGTCGGAGTTTGTCTAAGTAGAAGCTGCCCCGAGGTCGGTTGTTACTGGACGGTGCGGCAGTGACAGGTCCATGGCTAGGCTGCTCCGTTGCTTTAGACCTCCATTTCCTTTCTGCTAATGGAGGTGGGGGTGGGTTAGACCAGATGGTCTCTCCTGGCCTAAAGACAGACCAGGTTGTCAGTGACAGGCAGAGGTCATGTGACTTGACAGGCCGAGGTCGTGTTGTGACATGTTGACCTGGGGAGGCGGGTCAAGTCCCAGCACACTGCCCAGGAAGCCTCTTGGGCGGGGCAGGACAAGTCGCGACTTTCATCTTTGGGAGTCGGCCCCTCCCGGAGCAGGCATTCCTGGCTCCCCCACCAGCCTGTGGCTTTAGAAGGGGCCCCTCCCCGGGGAGGCCTGGGATTGGTCACCAGTGGCCTGGGAAGAGGCGCAGATCCTTCCGCGGAGGGCGGGTGGGGGGGGCCGCGTGGGGTGTTTGTTCTCTTGGGGATTAATGGGGGGGTTGTGGGGGAGGGGTAGGCGCGCTCCCGCATGCGCACTGCGGCCCCTCCTGTTGGCTCGCTGCTGTCCGCTGGGCGGGGGCCCGGCCCCGCCCCTCTCCCGTCCGGGCAGCGGCGGCGGTGGCGGCGGCAGCGGCGGCGGCGGCGGCGACGGCAGCCTGCGCGGTGCCTTCTGGGAACGGAATCCCCAGGGCTGCCCCTGGCCCCCATGGCGCATGCGCGGGAGGCCGCTCGGTGATCCGCGGCGGCGGCGGCGGCGCTTCCTGCTAGGACCGGCCGGGGCCGTACCGGAGGCTCGGGCTGCACCGACCCTCCTCCCACCCCCTCCCACTCACCCTCTGGGCCGCGACTGCGCAGGGCGGGGCCGGCCGAACCATGGGCCGCGGTGAGTGCGGGGCCCGGCCCCCCCGCCCCTCCCCCTCTCCACTCCTCCCCTCTCCTCCTGTCCCTACCCTCTGCCCCATCCGCGTCCTCTCGGCCCCTTTCCCCGGCCCCATCCTCACTCCCCCGCCCTCACCTGCCCCCGCCGTTTCTCTCTCTCATTGCCTGACTTCTGCCTTCCTCACCTCCCTCCCTTCAGTGCTTCGCCCACCCTCCGCCCGCCCTCTCCCCAAGTTCCTTCCTACTTCGTGCGCCTTCCCCTCCTCCCCAAGCTAAGGGAAGGCGTCCGGGTGACAGGGTGCCTTGTTATGAGAGGGAAAGTTTGGAAGCCGTCAGTGTGGGGTGGTAGCGATGGTGAGGTTGGGGAAGATACTTGCAGGTTTGAGGGTCGTCTCCACGTATTAGGAGAGAATGTCTCTGGTTGCTAATTGGAAGTCAGTGGGATAAGAGGTTCTGAGCCCCCTTGCCTTGCACTTGAGGGAGAATCAGGAGCTTCTCAGGATCCTGATAGAAGACAGAGTTGTGATTCTAACCTCTCTCAAGTCCCAAATGAACTAGACCAGTGATTGATGGAGCGGGTATGGGGGATTTCTGTTAGTACCACCCCAGCAGGCAGTTGGGCAATTGCCTGGTGACCTGTGGGGGCAATCTGTACTTTTTATATGATCTTTCTGGGGGAGGGGACAGCAGGGGTCAGAAACTGGGAAACTTCCTAGTTGTCTGGCATTATGGTGATTTGTCCACTCTCCTCATTGAAGTCTTCTGTCCCTAATTTGACAAAGGAGATTGGCTCCTTCATATATCTAGAAACTGGGCTATGGGTTCATGGTCCTTGGAAGTTGAGGTGCTGGCCCTCCCATCCCTAGAGACTAGGCTTGCTTGGAGGGAATGGTTGTGAATTCAGTAGATCCTTGAGGTCTTTATAGGCACGCACTTCACATTATCGAAGATCTTTCCCTGAGTGTCTTGAGCTGCGGTTCTCTTTTGAGTTATGGAATTTCCTGACAGTTTCTTCTCTTCCTTGTGTTGCAGGTGTGGGCTAAGCTGGTGGCCCCGGCTTTAGACTGGACCCCACAATGTTTGCAGAGATGTTCAGGTAGCCATGGTGGTATAACAGAGGATTCCTCCTCCTCCTTCACAGCTCTCCTAGTGCTTCTCCTTGCCATTCTGAGGCTTCCCAAGCTTCCTTGGGTCTCCCCACAACCTTTGCCTTCCTGGAGTCCTCCCTCAGGTACCCAGCCCAATTTAATCCTCCTTGTGCCCACATGGATGTCTGTGTTATCAGGCACGCGGGAGCTGATTACACACAATGAATGGGGGCAATGAGAGCAGTGGAGCAGACAGAGCTGGGGGCCCGGTGGCCACATCTGTCCCCATCGGCTGGCAGCGCTGTGTGCGAGAGGGTGCTGTGCTCTATATCAGGTAAAAATGTTTAGCTTTCCAAGTTTTAACAGCCTGGTTGCCTTTTGATTGCCTGTTTTTCTTTTTCCCTCTCCTTCTCTCAGAGCTTCCATCTCTGGTACTTTATTGCTCTCTTCTCCATTCCCTTTATTCCTCAGTGCTTTTGCTCTCTGTATCTCTCGGCCTTTGAATCCATTCTCCTTTTCTGTCTCTTCTCACATCTCTTACCTTCTGCCCTTCCTGGGAAGACGTTTAACTTGGGAATTGTCTTTTATGAAGTATCTTCTGATTCGTTGCGAGCTAACCCTATATTCTGTGACCCTGTTCTCTCTCAGCCCAAGTGGCACAGAGCTGTCTTCCTTGGAGCAAACTCGGAGCTACCTCCTCAGCGATGGGACCTGCAAGTGCGGTCTGGAGTGTCCACTCAATGTCCCCAAGGTCAGAGTTGTGCAAGGTGCCAGAGAGTACAGGGATGAAACCAAAAGACTTAATGCAAATCACTGACCATGGTAGCCGCCTCACAGATCCAACTCCCTCAGGGTCCGTGCCCATGCTTTCTACCTTACAGGTTTTCAACTTTGACCCTTTGGCCCCGGTGACCCTGGGTGGGGCTGGGGTGGGGCCAGCATCAGAGGAGGACATGACCAAGCTGTGCAACCACCGCCGGAAAGCTGTTGCCATGGCAACTCTGTACCGAAGCATGGAGACCACCTGCTCACACTCTTCTCCTGGTGAGTCTTCTTCCACTTTACAAAAGAGTGATGAAAATCTGAGGGTCTGGAAGGTGGTCAGCAGGAGGAGATGTATGAGAGGGAACAAGAAGGGTGGAGTCTGGTGGGGAGCCGTTGTTGAGAGGAGGGAATAGAGGTTGGGAACTTGTGGAAGATGGAATTGAAGTCAAGAAAGTTCTTGGAAAGGGACCTGCAGGCTGACCTTTTATTTCTTATTTATTGCAGGAGAGGGAGCAAGCCCCCAAATGTTCCACACTGTGTCCCCAGGGCCCCCTTCTGCCTGCCCTCCCTGTCGAGTTCCTTCTACAACTCCACTTAATGGGGGTCCTGGCTCCCTTCCCCAGGAACCATCCTCAGTACCCCAGGCCTTCCCCCCTCTAGCAGGCCCTGGGGGGCTCTTCCCACCACCAAGGCTTCCTGACCCCGTGCCCTCTGGGGGCAGCAGTAGCCCCTGTTTTCTCCCAAGGGGCAATGCTCCCTCTCCAGCCCCACCTCCTCCACCTGCTATCAGCCTCAATGCCCCCTCATACAACTGGGGTGCTCTTCGATCCAGCCTGGTTCCTTCTGACCTGGGCTCTCCTCCAGCCCCTCATTCCTCCTCACCACCTTCAGACCCTCCTCTCTTCCACTGTAGTGATGCCTTAACACCTCCACCCCTGCCCCCAAGCAATAATCTCCCTGGTCCCCCTGGTCCCCCTGGTCCTGCCACTCAGCCACCAGTGTCTTCAGCCACTATGCACCTGCCCCTGGTCCTGGGACCCCTAGGAGGGGCCCCCACAGTGGAGGGGCCTGGGGCACCCCCCTTCCTTGCTAGTAGCCTACTCTCTGCAGCAGCCAAGGCACAGCATCCCCTGCTACCCCCTCCCAGCACTTTACAGGGCCGAAGGCCCCGTGCCCAGGCGCCCTCAGCTTCCCACTCATCACCCCGTCCCTCTCAGCGTCGTCCCCGCCGGCCCCCAACTGTATTGCGATTGCTAGAAGGGGGAGGCCCTCAGACCCCTAGACGTAGCCGTCCTCGGGCCCCTGCTCCTGTCCCCCAGCCCTTTGCTCTCTCGGAGCCATCCCAACCAATTCTCCCTTCTGTGCTGTCCCTGCTGGGACTCCCCACTCCTGGCCCTTCCCATTCTGATGGAAGCTTTAACCTTTTGGGGTCAGATGCACACCTTCCTCCTCCTCCAACCCTCTCCTCAGGGAGCCCTCCCCAGCCCAGGCACCCCATCCAGCCCTCCCTGCCTGGGACCACCAGTGGCAGCCTCAGCAGTGTGCCAGGTATGTGTGGTGGAGCCCATCCGCAGCCTGGGGGGATGTAGGCAGCCAGGGCCTTGAGGGGAAAGTTTTGAGAGCGCTTTGGTGGTTTTCTGGGCTGGGGGCAGAAAAGGGCCTCCCTGGAGCTGAATCTCTTTCTTCTTTTACAGGTGCCCCCGCCCCACCAGCTGCCTCCAAAGCCCCTGTAGTCCCTAGCCCTGTGCTTCAGAGCCCATCTGAAGGGCTGGGGGTGGGGGTGGGCCCAGCCTGCTCTCTGCCTCCCTTGGCTGGTGGGGAAGCTTTCCCTTTCCCCAGCCCTGAGCAGGGCCTGGCACTGAGTGGAGCTGGCTTCCCAGGGATGCTAGGAGCCTTGCCTCTCCCTTTGAGTCTGGGGCAGCCTCCACCTTCTCCATTGCTCAGCCACAGTTTATTTGGTGTGCTGGCTGGGGGAGGAGGACAACCTCCCCCTGAACCCCTGCTACCCCCACCAGGGGGGCCTGGCCCTCCCCTAGCCCCAGGCGAGCCTGAAGGGCCTTCGCTTTTGGTGGCTTCCTTGCTTTCACCACCCCCCTCAGACCTTCTTCCCCCACCTTCTGCACCTCCTAGCAACCTCCTGGCCTCTTTTCTGCCCCTGTTGGCCCTGGGCCCCACAGCTGGGGATGGGGAGGGATCTGCAGAGGGAGCTGGGGCTCCTAGTGGGGAGCCATTTTCAGGTTTGGGAGACTTGCCCCCCCTACTTTTCCCCCCACTTTCAGCCCCCCCTACCCTCATAGCTTTAAATTCTGCGCTGCTGGCTGCCAGCCTGGATCCCCCCTCGGGGACACCCCCCCAGGTGAGGATAGGGGGTGAGTGGGTGGGACAGAACAAGAGGTAGAATCAGGATGGGAACTGGGAATCCAAAGCTTTCAGATTAATGCTTGAACTCTTCCTCAGGGCCTCTGGGGAGGGTTTAGTTTTGGCTGGGGGTAGGATGGCAATAAGAATGGAGTCTGTTTAATAAGCATGGCCTACTTCACTTGAGGCTTCAGTTAATATGTGTCTAAAGTACTGTAAGCTATCAAAACATTTTACCCAGGTAAATATTATAATCATTCTTTCTCCTTAGTCCTGTGTCCTGAGTGCCCCCCAACCTGGACCACCTACCTCCAGTGTCACCACGGCAACTACTGACCAGGGGGCCTCCTCTCTGGGCAAGGCCCCCTCCAACTCAGGGAGACCCCCCCAACTCCTTAGCCCTCTGCTGAGTGCCAGCCTGCTGGGTGAGTCTGAAGGAGAACTCTTGGTGTGAGAGAAGAGCATTAAAAATTGGAAGCAGAGACTAGATGAATTGGGAAGAAAGTCTATAATGACTGGACAAAGCCAGAGTCTGCTTAGCCTAATTTGTTTGCCTAGGAAGACACTCCTGACTATAATTTCTCAACAGGTGACTTGTCTTCGCTGACCAGCAGCCCTGGAACCCTCCCCAGCCTATTGCAGCCTCCTGGCCCTCTTCTCTCTGGCCAGTTGGGGCTGCAGCTCCTCCCTGGGGGGGGAGCTCCTCCACCCCTCTCAGAGGCTTCTAGTCCCTTAGCCTGCCTGCTACAGAGTCTCCAGGTGAGGGTGTGGGTGGTGTTTGTCAAGAAGAAAATCTTTTCTAGAATTTTAAGGCTTTCTGAGTTACAGTATAGAGGACTGTATCTGAGGCTGACAGAGATCTTATTTTTGCCAGCAGATCCCTCCAGAGCAGCCAGAAGCTCCCTGTTTGCCCCCTGAGAGCCCCACCTCAGCCCTTGAACCAGAGCCTGCCCGGCCTCCCCTCAGTGCCTTAGCCCCACCCCACGGTTCTCCCGACCCCCCAGTCCCTGAGCTGCTCACTGGGAGGGGGTCAGGGAAACGGGGCCGGAGGGGAGGAGGGGGTCTTAGGGGCATTAATGGTGAGGCCAGGCCAGGCCGGGGCCGAAAGCCTGGCAGCCGGCGAGAGCCTGGCCGACTGGCCCTCAAGTGGGGCACCCGTGGTGGCTTCAATGGACAAATGGAAAGGTCCCCAAGAAGGACCCACCACTGGCAGCATAATGGGGAGCTGGTTGAAGGGGGTGCTGAGCCCAAGGATCCACCCCCTCCTGGGCCTCATTCTGAGGACCTTAAGGTGAGCATATGATAGCGGTCTGGACTGAGGGATTCTGAGAAAAGGCTGCAGCCTGGTGCCATTTTCTCACTTTTCCTATACACACAGTCTGTCTTTTCTCAGGTGCCCCCAGGGATAGCCAGAAAGTCTCGTCGTGGCCGGAGGAGAAAATACAAGTGAGTGTTAGGCTCACCCCTATACTGGCCTTTGCCTACTGGGATAATAGAAATATCTACATACTGGCTTGGGTTTCATTATTTTGTTTCTGTAGTGCTGGGGATCAAACCCAGGGCCTTGCACGTTAGGCAAGCACTTTACCATTGAGCTACACCCCAGCTCCAAATAGTGGCTTGGTTTTCAAAAAGGGCAGATATTTACTTGAATACGAATAAGGATACTGTACCTTTACTATCCAAATGTAGAAAGTTTCTCACCCAGCCTTCTGAAATTCACCTGGTGCTTGGGGAGCTGTTCCTGATCATCTGTGCCCCTTATTGCAGCCCTACCCGGAATAGCAATAGCTCCCGCCAGGACGTTACCTTGGAACCCAGCCCTACAACCAGAGTAAGTGTGTTTGGGCAGGGTGGGTGGGTATATGGATAGGAATACAAAAGGGTAAGACAGGAGGAAAGATACAATAGGGGGAGAGGGGAAAAAATACTTCCTGTTATCCAGCTGATTGATCACCTCTTTCAACTTCTCTCAGGCTGTCCCTCTGCCTCCCCGGGCCCGCCCTGGACGTCCTGCCAAAAACAAGAGGAGGAAACTGGCCCCATAACAGCCATACCTGGAGCTGGAGCTGACCCTGACTGGGGAGAGCTGAGTGCTGAGCCTTGGGAGCCCCTGCCAGCCACGTGCACCTGTGGACAGTGGGTGGGGGCTCTACTCCCCACTCAGAGCACAAATGCAACCCCTTCCCTACAATCCCATCCTGAGCCATTGCAGGGGGTAGGGAAGCTCACCCCGTCTCCCCCAAAGCCATGTCACTGAAAAGGCCTGGGGGGTGGTATATGGCCCTCTCCCCATCAGGCGCTAAGGGGAACACCCCTTTTCCAGGTCTTTTATTTGTTTAAGTTATTTTTGCACAAATGACTCTTTTATATTTAATTCGACTTCATTGCCTCCCTTCTTAAAGCCAGCAGGCTCAGTTTACAAACCTGTGAGCTACTGTTGGCTGCTGCCCTCCTTCCCAGTGAAAGGTACAAAGCAATAAGCATCATGCATCTTCCCCTTACCCTTCAACATCCCTCTGCCTCTGGCTCAGGTTGCTCAAAGCACAGATCCCCTCTTACCCCCGTCCCCAGGTTTGAAACACATAGCCTCATTTCGAGGTGTGGCCTCCCCTCTGCTTTCCTCTGGGATACACAAAGGGGGTAAGGGGGCAAAGAGAGCCCTCTGGGCCTCTCCTCCCATACACACTACACTGCCCCTTCTCCCCCATCAAAACGCTCAGAGACGTTGTGATGATGCGACTGAGGATTATGCAACGTGGTCCAACCGGAGCGGCCAGCATGACCAGCTGTCCAGGGGCTGCCTCCTGCCTTTTCTTTTGTAAAGACAAGACCCTTGGGAGTTTTAATTCTGTTTTGTACTTGCCCTGTGGGGCCTCCACTGCTTTTCTATGGGAGACACTCTTAATTTAACAGATGAGAATATTTTGAAACTCTGGTTCTGGCTCTGTACTCATTTTTTACTTAGTTCTTTGGTAAGAACAGGTTAAACTGAAACCTGTCTTGTACGATGGCTTGGACTGCCTATTATACTCTTACATGTCTGTCTGTCTCAGTGCTCTGTTTCTTCCCCAGGAAACACAGCAGAGGTCACACAGAGTATAACAGCATTTAATGGTCAGAAATAGTTGTACAGTATCACAGTCAGCCACAGAAGCTGTGTTGGAGGACAGTTCTCCCCCACATCAGGCAAAGCAGTTTTGGACATGAGCTGGCATGTGGCTAGGTCATGTCCTCATCCCCTTGGCCTGAGGGAGACCACATCTAATATCCTCCACCTACCACTTGTATTCAAGGGGAGGGATGAAACCCCACATGCAAGAACCCTTGCCCCCAGTGTCAAATGGGATGGGGCTGTGAGAGTTACAATGATGGAGAAACCCTATGTAAGCCATTAACAGAGTTCACAGGAGCAAGGGTTACCCCTGTTCTCTGTCTCCCAAAGGTGCTCACTTTCCCAGCTTCTTCATCCGCTCATCAATGCTGGCAAAGTTCCCCTCAACTGTAGCCAGGTTTTCACGCATGGTTTCTGCACCTATGAAGGGAAGAGGTTTCTGTCAGATCCAGGTACCCATCTGGAGGAGGAGCATTCAGAAGAAATTCTCTTCAGAGAAGAGAAAAAATGAAAACCCAGTTTATGGGCCCCAGAGGTGGGAATGTTTATAGTAGCAGATTCCAAACTATCCCTGGTGTACTGTAGACCTAGGTCAGGGTCTTCAGGACTCCTAAGCATTCCCATCCTGACTTTAGAACTGTTCACTTACCTGTTCTATATAATGAGAACCAAGTAAGATACTGTTGAAATGAGTATTTTACTGGTTCAAAATTTTAGAAAACTACTTGAGAGAGAAAATTGTACTAAGTACTTTATAGTTTTTTTCATTTATCTTGATTCTGTGATTGATCTCTCAACTTTAGTACTCCCTCTAGCACCAAATTTCCTCCAACGGAAATTGAGGACTTGGTATGTGTCAGGCATTGCAAAAGGAATGAAGTCCAGGGTTAGGAAGGAAGTGGCAGAACCAGGCCCTGGTTCCTGATTCTTTCCCATGTACTGTGCTCAGGAGCATCTGGATGAAGACTTCCGGGGGCAGGGAGTGGGTGGTAAAGCCACCCTGAGACTAGATGGAAAGAAGAGGTTAATTATGAGGAAAAACACATCCGCTAACTCCCAATGATTCACCCATACTATTTCACTTAATCTACATAGGTGCAGTTTTTCAAATGGAAAGATGGATGGACCAAAGGTCTGGTAACCACAGATGTTCAAACCAAGGCCCCACCACAACACCATCTACAAAATGAGCTAAGGCAAAATGTTATGAGATGGAGTGGATTTAGTCTATATGCTGGAGAAAAGCTCTAGCAGACCAAAAAGAGCAAAATGGTAGCATTAAAAAGAGGTAGCATACCTGGGTCAGGAGGGTGGTGTTGTCCTTGAGGGAACTGGCAATCATCTGTTGGGTGGTATCCAAGTGTGTCAGAAGCTGACCAAACTGCATGGCTACAAAAGAAAGAAGAAAGGTATGGCTGAGACTAGACTCCAAGATGAGAAGGAGGGGAACAAAAGAGGCCCACTATTCTGCACTTAATCTTAGCCAAAAGATTGAGAAGTGATAGAGGGCCACTTTTCAACTCTTGGTATGCTTGGCAGCTGGCCTTGCACCTTGCTCATGCAGCTGCTTGATGGTGACAAGTCTCTGCACCAGCTCAGGAAGGGTGGAGGCGATGGGACTCCAGCGTTGGATGGTTTCATATAGTTGATGCACCTGGAAGAACATGACAAGGCCCCAAAGGGAATGGCTGCAGTGGCCAGTCAAGTATGCACTGATCACTACTTCAGTGGGGAAGGGATCAAATGGGCAGAGAGAAGCACTACCCCTGACTTTCTCAGTTAGAGCTTGTGAGCTAAGATCTGAAGATTCAGTGTGTTCTCATGCCTTGGGTATTACCACTCCAGAAGGAAAACCTGAGGGAGAAAAGGGGTATAAAGGCGTCTTTCTGACCTTGCTCTGTGTATCTGCATCCTCCACAGAGGCTTTATGCTTGGCAATCTCATTCACCTTTCCCAGGACACTCTGAAAGCATAGATTTTTAAGATGATATGGTATCCAGGGCTTCCAATGTTCTAAACTACCCAGAATCCAATTTTTATTGCACTGAGTACCTGTAGCCGAGCCTCCACTTGGTCCAAAACTGCAAGATCCAGGGCGCTCACCTTTGCCTGCAACAGTTCTACAGTCTCCTGGCAGCAGTGGGTGGGGGGAGGTATGCAGTTGGGACATGTGTTATCAAAGGGAAAGGATCAGACTGCCCTCTGTAATCCAAACACTGCAGTTCCTCTCACACTCACCATAAGACAAGTTCCCTGAAGACCTGCTGAAAGGGGATTCTGGTGGAAAAGGGAGGGAAGAAATCAGTGGTCTTCATATTTCCATGGGATTATCGGCTCCCATCCTTCCTGGTTTTAACTGGCAATCTACTGGCTGATCCTGGAAACTGACCCCCCTTCCTGACTCCTCCCAGGCTTATGTGGAATGCTGTGGATCTTAGGACTCAGGGTGCAGGATCTGAGGCTCAGATTAAGTTCAGGAGAGCACCTGACCTGAGCATCCTGATCACAGCGTAGAGTTGTCTCCAGCTCTGTCAGGCGCTTTTCAAGTTCTGCAACCTGGGGGAAGAAGAAGGTGAGATCTGCCACTTGACTCTGTTGATACAGTGGGAGGAATAGGATACTGCTCTGCTTGTCACTTCACACCCTTCCCCAAGGGACTCTTTTCCCTGGAACATATTCCTAACCACAATCTTAAAATCCTAATGGAAAGTAGATGAGTGAGGAAAACATGGAGAATGAGACATCAAGAGGAATCAAAAGAGCTTGAAGGTGTGGCTCAAGTGGTAGAGCACCTGCCTGGTAAGTGCAACGCCTTGAGTTCAAACCCCAGTACCACAAAAAAAAAAAAAAAAAAAAGGGTCCTGTCTCTCCTGGTCTTCCAACCAGCACTATATATATACTTACTTTGGCAGCTTGAGAGAACTTGTCCTGCTCAGGCCGAGAATGTAGTTCATAAGTGACAAGGCTGCTTCCTGGGGGGGTCCCACTTGTGGTCTTTCCCCCTGAACTCCCTTTGCTGTTCTTAGTTGCTTCCAGCTGCAGCAGTAGGCGCCTGGGTCAGGAGACCAAGTAATAATATCATGACCTGAAGGATGAAGGCCAGTCACTCTCTCTTTTGCCTCATAGTCCACATTAGAGAACACTTAGGCCACCTCTCCCCTTTAGAAACACTGGAAGTAGCTGGCTGAGTCCCTCCACAGCCCCAGTCAGCCATTATTTTCCAACAAGCAGGGCACCCACTTAGCCAGAGCTCCATCAGGGTCAGTAAGGTTGATCGTGGCATCTGGTCCCAGCAGCTTCTCCAGGTGGGAAGCAACCAGCTGCTGCTTTAGGGCTGCCAGCTGTTTAGCCAGCACCACAGGGGTCAGCTTTTCCTCAGTGGCAGACTCCTTCACTGTCGTCTGATGTGAAAAGAGATGAACAGTGCGGGGTGGCAGAATGAATCAAGAAAAATGAAAGGATAAATACTCTTAAGGACAATTGTAGCTGGAAGTCATCAGGATGGTTTTTAGCACCACAGACTGCATACTAATAACCCTGAATGTAGATGTGTGTATATTCCCAAACTCTGGAAACCTCTGTACTCTTATCCAGGGGCTTAGGGAATCTTCCTCTTCCTGCTGGGGAGCTCTTCCTCTGCTACAGAAGCCACAGAAGAGCTGGGGAGGAGAGTATATAGTTACCTTGATTTTCTCAACTTCAGTTGTTAGCTCTTGGACCTCATGCAGTAGTCGCTGGTACTTTTGTTGAGGTGTCTCTTTCACTCCCAGACCCTCTCCAAGCTAGAGAGCAAGTACAGAGGGTGATGTTACACCTTCCATTACAGGAAGTCTCAAGAATTTATCTCAACACTGGACCTAACTCATAAGGTATCGTATCTAACACCTGAATCCTCAATCCCCTAGTAGAGAAAAAATGTAGAAGGCCAGAGGCCTGGAGACAGTCCAGAACAAACAGCAGGGGGCAGAACATTATCAACTGAATTCTTCTGGGTGCCTTAGGAAACCAATCAGAGAAACTCAGAATGAGACTACGCCCCTTGCATTCCCTGCTACATGCCTGACTGACATGATCACCACTCCATTACAACCAACACACACACACAAAACAAACCATCTCATATTCTCCAGATTCATATCCTGTCCTCTTGGTTTTTCCAATGCGATCTGAGAAATCTGCCAAGAAAAAAAGATGGGATTGAAGGCCTTGATCTATGTCCAGGACAGTCATGGTCTCAGGTAACTGAGGGCTACCAGCAATCTCCACGAAGAACTCCTTCCACAGAGCAAAAGTCACCAAGACCTGAGGACAGGAAGCCAATTTTCATGCTTGTCCTCCAGACTCCCCTTATCCAACTTCCAGTTCAGTCTTACCGAGTCCCTTTGTCCCAACTCTCTTGTCCTTGAACTTGTCATAGGCAGCATTAGGATTGACAATGATGTGCTCCACACTTGTGCTGGTCAGCTCTTCCTAAAGAATAGGTGGTTCAGGTCAGGGGCAGACTCATTCCCACCCTAGCACTTCCTCTATCCCACAAAATCACTAAACCACTAGGAGACTGGGCCCAACTTTTCCAAGAGGAAAGAAGGGCGGGTCCATTCTAAGCTGCCAAACCCAGGCTCAGCCTAGGAAACAGAAACTTCCTGGTAAAATTGGAGCCTCAGTTGTATAAATATTAACACCCTGATTCAGCTGGGAATAGAGGCAGTGTAACCTCCCCACCCACTCTGTACATGAGCCTCCCTTTCCCCCACCCTTCCCAGTTATCTGGCACACACCATACACTCAGGGCAAGAAACCAACCTGACCTCTCTTAACCTCCCCCTCCCAAAAGTAAATCTCCTTGCTGGCTGAGCAAGTCCATTTTAAAGCTGTCTTCCCGTCCTTGCTGGAGGAGAGGAAGGAAGGTAGACAGCCTAATACCTCCGAGTGTAAACAGTAGGATTTTAAACCTACTAAAGGTAAGACACCAGCTTTTAGATATAAAAGGAAGGTTAGCAGAGGGCCTGACTAGAAGCCTGGTTTCCAGGCTGCCATGGGAACAGCAGTTCAGGCAAGGGAGGTTTACTAGGATTTTTGTTTTGTTTTGTTGATACTGGGGTTTGAACTTAGGGCTTCACACTTGCTAGGCAGGTGGGCTATCACTTGAGCCATACCTCCCAGCTCTTACTGGATTATTTTTTTAAGGGACACCTTAGAAGCAACAAACATAAGCAACAGCTATTTGCCAGGAGCACCTTGAGCAAGGGCCACATATAAGCCTGAATTGGAGATAGTATGGTCCTTCTTCACAGAGAAGCACTTTCCCAGAGAAGGGCTTTTTCCCTTGACCCCTCTGCTGTGCCTCAAGCACTGTGTCATAGCAGGGGACATGGCAGAGAGAGTAAAAAGAGTACCCTAGAAATCAAAGCAGAGGCTCTCTCTTTACTAGACATTCACTTGGTGTTCAGATTCTAATAATTACACCAAGACTGGGCACTCCTGACTCACATCCCTCCTCCAACTGTCAGAAGCCTAACAGCTCCTACTAGGGTGCTGAAGTCAGGACTGGGCACTCCTGACTCATATCCCTCCTCCAACTGTCAGAAGCCTAACAGCTCCTACTAGGGTGCTGAAGGAAGGGGGAAGATAGCTAAGAGTGCTGTTCTATTGGGGATGACATCTCCACCTTGCATAGGAGGAAGGCAAGGTGAGTCTTCTCTCCACCTAGGAAAATGGCTCTTAATCCTGGCTGCACATTAGAATCACTTAGAAAATGGGTAAGCCCAGCTACCTAGGGATTCAAGCCTGTAGCCGGGACAGAACCTCTGCCTATGTGTGTGAGAAGTGGGGAGGGGAAGTGGAGAGACATGGAGAGCAGCAGCTAGAGGGAGGCTGTCCTTTATCTCTGTTCTGCTATTAACCAGAGAATGAATCCATGTGGGTAGCAGCTCTCAAGAAAGGGGGAGAAGGGTAAGGAGAATCAACCTTTATCTCCATTTTTTTCTTCAGGGAACTGTTTGGCAGAGGGGCAGGTGCTATGGAGAGCAAGGGAAAATGAATGGACTTAATGCAAGTCCTGAGAGAAAGAGACATTTAGTCCCAAAAGAATCTCTCTTTAACCTCTGAAGTGCTATAGTTGGAACATGAACTCACTAAATAGGTGCAAGGTCTCTGGCCTCTACCAACTGTCTGAGAAGGATTAAGGCTTAGGAAAGACAACGGCCATCTCTTAAGCTGACACTCAAGAATATGCCACTTCTCCCTGCTAAAGCTACAATCAAGGACAGAGGCAGAAATCCTTTGTATAGCCAGGCAAGGTGGCACAAGCCTGTAATACCAGCATTTGGCAGGTGAAGGTAGGAGGATCATGAGTTCGAGGCCAACCTGGGTTACATAATGACACTTTGTCTCAAAAATAAAAACTCCTGTTTTATTTATTTATTTATTTTTGCAGTACTGGATTTGAACTCAGGGCTTCATGCTTGCTAGACAAGCACTCTACAGCTTGAGTCACATCTCCTGGTATTTTTGCTCTGGTTATTTTTGAGTTAGGGTCTTGCTATTTGCCCATGCTGGCCTGGGTCCACTCTTTCCACTGTAGCTGGGATGAAAGGCATCCGCCACCATGCCCAGCTTTTTTCTGTTGAGATGGAGGTCTTGTAAATTTTTTTGCCCAGGCTGGCCTGGAACTGTGATCATCCTGATCTTAGCTTCCCAAATAGCTAGGATTACAGGCTTGAGATACCATACCTGGCTTTAAATCCTCTTAACAAAAAGGACTGGGGCTGTGGACATTGCTAAGTGGTAGAGCTCTGGTCTACCATGTTCAAGGCCCTGGGTTCAAACTATAGCACTACAAAAGAAAGAAAAAGAAAGAATGCGGAAGACACTACTCTTAAGTCTTTGTCATGGCTGGGTGCTATGCAAATGAGAACCTACTTTCTTATTTATGCTCCTACATAGGGAAAGCAGAGAGTGAAAAAAAGGGCTAAACACAGAAGGTGAGGCTAAGGTTCTGGGAATCAGGAATGGACAGCACTTCCATCCCATTGTTTCCATTGTAGGAGCACGACATGGGCCAGAAGGATTGCAGACGGTGGCATCTTCTTGGAGCCTCTCCAACGCTGTGGCCCTGGGGGACTCAGGTGGGCAGCACATGCTGCTCCTCCAGCAGCACCTACTCCACCAAGTTCTGGGGCATAGGTTGGGAGGAGAAGTGTCATTACAGTGACTTGTGAGGTAGGAAACAGTTGTCAGCTGGGTGAGGGACTAACTAGGAAGATGAAAGATTAAGTAGAGACAAAAGGACAGAGAGGGAAAATGGAGGTAGACAGAGAAACAACTGACCATCACAGCACACCCCGTTAAAAAGCAGATGAAAGGTCAGGCTTCTTACCAGCTCCTTGTGGTTTCCCCAGAGGTGAGAAAATCAAAGAGTTAAAAGGAAAGGGAGAAGGGAATGGGGGATAAGGGAGGGGGAAAAAAAGACAAAATTGTTATTAGCATATTGTCACATGCACTATATGACAGTCTTCAAACACACTGCACCACAGGGTCCCAGGGGAGGCTAGCAAAATTTGGGGGCCAAGAAATTTTAGCTGGGGTCATCATATGCACCAACAGAAAGAAGACCATGAGACCCTTTCCTCTCTGGTGGTGAGAATGTCATGAAGCTTTGCCATTAAAAGCATCAATTTAGGATCATTTGAGAATAGGAGTTAGATGTTATAAGCTGGTGGCATGGAACAGGAAAGTGCATGTAGAGAAGGCTGAGGTGGAAGGGAAGCTGTAGAAATGGCAGAATATGAAGCAGAGGATATGGAGATTCTGAGGACCCACAACTGATTGAGGGTCCGTAATTCTCAAGGGAGTTTTCCTTACTAGTCATGTTCCAAGTCTTCCTGTCTACTGGTTTTTCTAGTGAAAAGTTGGATACTTAGATGGCAGAACCAAGTCACAATGAAGATATTCCTATGAGTGATCTTATGTGACTTGTAGGTTAGGTAGAACAAGGTATGTCAAGTACCAAGAGAGTTTAGGGAAACATGAAGTAACTAATTGCAGCCTCAGTCTTATTTTCTGTTGCCAAAGGAAAGGTAGGGCAAATCCTGGTCCCTCAGGTAGCCTGATATGTTAATACCCACCTTAAGTGGTTGGTAACACACACTACATCTGAGTGATGCAGTGATTCTGTCATGATGTACAAGCACAAAGAACCCAGAGGACACCAACCAAGGTCCACAGCTATTTGCCTGTATGCAAAATGTTTCTCCACTCCCATTCACAAGACTCACAGAGGCTGGAGGATGGATGAGGGAAAGGGTAAGAGTATATGAAAGAGGCCTTATTTTGGTCCAGGTTACAGAGATAAGGCTCTTACATTCAGGCAAGACTGGTTTAGAACTGTGAGGAAGGGAAATTTAAGTGTATACCCTGTATTTCCAACAGCTCTAATGATGGGTAGATGGAATTCAATAGTGGGGGAAAGACAAGTACTTTCTACCCTAAGATTTTAGCCAGATACACCTGACCCTCAACCTCTCATTCCCTAGCAATGCCAGGGTGCATCCAAGCCAAGGTTCCTGTTTTAGCCCAGGGTAAGGTGGTTCCAGGTCCTGGCAGTATAAGGTGGCATCCAGGCCGTGTGTGCACACAGAAGGCATAAGCCCTCATAGGTGTACACATACAAACTCACAAGAGAAGTATAGGTACCTTTCTTTGACGTGACTCACCAAGTTAAAACTAGTGTGGGAGAAACTCAAGGAGAGGGGGACAATGGGCCATCAACTCAAATTCAAACTAGGAGGGATGGGCAAAATGGGGAGTACAGAAAAATCAAAGAAAAGAAAAGCAGTATATTAGTTTGCAAATGTTGTATACCCCCTCCAGTCTGTCCTGAGTGGATTGATGAATGACAACCTGGACCAGGAAGTCCACTACACCACAGCTGCTTGAATGGAAAATTCCAAGTGCTCTGATCCCAGATACCAGTTTACTTAGTATATGACTCCCAAGCTCTTTCACTAATGCACTCCGCTCTGAGATTCCCAAGGGCTGTTTGGTAAAGTGGCTGTGACAAAGAGGGCAAGATCTGGAGTTCTAAATCATACAGGAGAGGTGGCTACTGTATAATCTGAGCCTGTTTAGGCTGCATGCCAACACTGCAGCCAGAGGGACTTCAGAACCATGATGATAAAAAGATGGAGACAGCTGTAGAATAAAACTGTCCAGGATGGAGCAACATATGCCCAACCATCCATTTCTAAAGGAGGGGTGCAAAAACAGAAAAACTCACAAAAGTACAAATAACATAAATTATCTTAAAATTGCAAACACCTTTTTCCTATCCCATTTACTTTTCTCTAAAGGCTTCGCCTAAGAGAATGTTAAAATGAGCTTCTTCCAGGGATAATGCAAATACAACTAAGAAGAGAGAACTTCAGCTGTGCTCCTTGGTCCCCACCTTTGTCTAGAATTGCTCAAAGCCATTCCATAAAAATCTCTTAACTGCAACCCCCCCCTCCAAGTCTAGCCCCTAAATGCTTCATGTTTAAAAGCATTCATAGCCTATGTTTCTAGCCCCTCCTCCACTGGACAGTTTTATTCTGCAGACCTCACAAGGGGAAGAGACAATGATTTGTGAATCATAGCTGTGTTTCTAAACCTTGATTAATGATCTTTGTATATAAGGTCATCAGGCCCCGCAGTGACCCAGCTAGGGACTCACTGTAATTTAAAATGATTATCTACAATTGCACAGTGGCAGAACATTGCATGCAAAATGGCAGATGAACAAAAACATGCAGAGAAGAAGCACTGAATGGTCTTACTTGTGCAAACTAGTGTCCAGGCAGGGTGGTGAGGAGGGAGGATGGGGGAAGCATTAGGAAAAACTCAGGTAAGTTCAAGTGCGCCAACGGTCAATGAACACAATCAAGCATACTCTGTGATATTCTAGACTATAAGGAAGAGAACCTACTGTTTCTCATCTCAGACTAGGAAGTTCCACCTGCCTCTTCCACGGCCCCACCAAATAGGGAACTTACCCTCTTTTACACGGCATTGCCATAAAGGAAGAGACTAAGTCCTGTTTCTAGTGAGGGTTTCTTAATTTACTTTCCTTGCTCTACCAGTTCAAAAGCTATGAGCAGAATGCCTCACCGACCCAGAACAAACTGTGGACCCAGGGGAGGGCATTTCATTTAGGAATTAGCTTATCTAGCAAGCCATTTTAAGAAAATTCTCCCAAAACCCCAGTATCTCAATCAACCCAGGAGTGTCTGAAACGCAGAGCTTTCCAGGTTGTAGAGCTGCTAGTCTGTGCAGTCTTCTGGCTCAATATCATTTTAAAATAGTCTGCTATTTTTTTTTTTTTTTTGGAAGTACTGGAGTGGAGTTTGAACTTGGGGCCTCATGCTTGCAAGGCAGGCACTCTACCATTTGAGCCACTCTACCAGAACTTCTTTTAGTTATTTTTTCAGGTAGAGTCTCTGTTTTGCCCAGGATGGTCTTGGCTTCAATCCCCCTACCTATGCCTCCTGTATAGCTGGGATTACAGGCTGTGCTGGGTTTGTTCGTTGAGATGGGGTCTTGCTAACTTTTTGCCCCAGCTGGCCTCAAACTTTGATCTTCCCAAACTCCTCCCACCAAGTAACTGGGATTATAGATGTGTGCCACCACACTTTGCTCCCTAAAATTGTTTTAAAGGAATAGTAGAAAAATTAGGGTCATCTGCAGCAAAACTGAAATTGTCCACTACTTTCCTGTCCCATCCTCCCCACTATGGAAATCATAAGACTTTTATGCTGAAGTTAAACTAGCAATTAAGATTTTTAAGGGACACTAGAGAACATTATTTCCTTCGGTAGTCCAATTTCTCCCACCGTGGAAGAAGGAGATTAAAGAACATTACTTGATATTCCTTTAAATTAAAAATCTGGAGGCCCTCCAAAAGGTTCCATGAGAAGTTGGCCATACCAGTTGTCTCCAGGGAAGGGAAATGAGTGGTGACAGACAGAAAAGTTGGAGAGTTTTTCACTACACAGCCTTGAATTTTTTGCTTTCTGTGTAGGTGTTACATATTTTAAATGCTAATAAAATTAAAGCTGGAAATAATCTGGAGACTAAAGCAGAGAATGCTGTTGTCAAGCACTAAAGTAGCTGAAAACTTCATGGTTCAGCTGTAAGAGTGATGATTGCACTGTCACCTGTGCTACGTCTTGGCCAAGTAGTTAAAAAAAAAAGACAGGCTTCCAGTAAGAATCCAGGCCTCATGGACGTAATGTTTCTGCATTGGCTAAGCATACATACAACTCACTGCCTTTAATATGTCAGTATTAAGAGCAACAGCAGAACCATTACCCAGCCGACTTTCTGAAAGCTGCCCTCCTGAGGCCCAGAGGGACATACATGGCCAGTGACATTAGCTGACATCAGGAAACATTTCAGCTCTCAGGGCTCCTGAAGCAGATGAAAGTCTCCCCGTTCCACCCATTGCTCCCTATTGACAATTAGCTGAGCCTCAGGTGATGGGGCCAACCTAACTTTTCCTATTTTTACTAGCTCCTAAACTCTTCTACATCAGCATTCTGGGCAATACACCACAGGAGACCAACTCTAGGCTGCCCTCTCCTACTGATAAGCTGCTCAGGCTTGGTAGCAAGAAAAAGTCAATCAGAGCTACACATTCAGGTTCTTCCACGTCTAGAGCGGGCACCATCTTTTTATTAAGTTACCCCACTAACTTTAAAAAGGAAAATTACAATGTATTTTTGTTTTGTTTTGGAAAGGGAATTGCTGTGCGACTATCCATTTGTATCATAGTCAGTGACAAAGGGACAGAGTTCATTATCTTCCTCATAAAAGCTTACTATTTTATAGGCAGAGGCCTAGGCCTGAGTTGAGCAGTCTCTGAACTGGGGTAGTACAGGAATTTCTCACCTCATACACTCCTACCCTGTGAAAACAGAGGAAGCTAAGACACTTAAGAGTGACAGATGCATATTTAGGTCCTTGGACAATGACATCATCTGCATTATCTCCAGATACTTAAGCTTGGGGGACAGATTGACATGCCAGCCAAGTACAGAAGCCACAAGGAACACACCACTGAGAAAAGGGACAGGGAAGGTGTTCCCCATAATATGGGAAGCACTTCCACATGAGAGAATCAAATAAGGAATAAGTGAGTACGCCAAGCCATACATTATAAGCCAGCAACCAGCATTCCCTAGAACTAACCAGCTCCACAGACATGGCCACAGGACTTACAGACACAAATACTGGGCCTGCATACTAAGGCTGTTCCCTTCACTGAGCTCTCACAGCATCAGTGTCACCCCAGCCTAGCTTTCTCGGGAATGGACAGAACTTAAAACACATCCTATAAGATACACTGATACATCTTTGTCCTCCTTGGGGCTTACAGAATTGTTACAATGTTAATTTCCACTTATTCACTTGGGGGGTATCTTTCTTATGTTACCTATATGTATCCCAACTCTCCCCTGTGTTTCCTTAATGTATCCTAATCCTTCCATTAGTCTGTGGCTCCTTAATGACAGGGACATCTCTTCCTCTGCACTGTACTAAAATCAACACAGAATGGACACATTCCATAAACAATGCTAAGTAATTCCCCTCATGGTTAAAATGTGTCTACAGCTAATTCCTTCATTTTCAGAGTTCTTGGATCTGAAAGTACTAGTGCAACCCCTCCTCTGCTGATATTAAAGATTTATGTTTTTCCTCAAATTTGTTTTGCTCTGACTAGGTCCCTTATCTTTCTAAAGTCTCCAAGTCATTTCCTTATTCCTTGCCAGATGGATACTGGATAATCATATAAAAGAATATTTCTCTATATTTCAAAATCTAGTTCTTGGTAGGATGTTAATGAACGCTGTGTGAATACTTTATAAAAGGGCTACTTCCTAACCTCAACCAGTTTATTAATGCTCGTGTTTCATGATTCAATGCTGTGGGTTCGAACCCAAGAACCTAAGTCACTAGTCCCAAATGGAACTGTTTTCACATACTTCAATTTTACTTAAAAGGCCCAATAATTAGGGCTTTGAAAGGAGGTCTTGTTAGTTTTAATTCCACTGACTTCACTCCTGGTATTGTTTATTGGAGGCTGCAAGCCCAGCAAGGCCTTTGCAAGTTCTGTAACCCACAACCATTTAGGCTGGGGTTGGCATACCCACTTATTGCTGTGGCTCTCTGGAGTAGGGAAAGGCCTATCTGGGAGAGAGGTCAGGGTCCAGAGGAATCCTGAAGTGGTACATAGTCTTACCGCATCAAACTCTGCTTGATCATCCTCAGGTAGGTCGCTGGTTTCATAAACATCAGGTTCGTTCCTGGCCTGCAGGTAGAAGCAGTGACCACCCAACCTCACTACTTAGCATCCATCAATACCCCTAACCCCACTCCATTTGAACAAGCTATCAGAGAAGCAGGGCTGTGATGCCAGGATCCTGATCTTCTCCATCCGCCCTGTGTAACTTCCCATGTCTTAGTGGGGTGAGAGTGGCAGCAGGTACAAACTGGACCTGATGGTAAAAGGTGAGTGTGATAACAAAGATGTTATCCTGAACTTGGAAAGGGGTGGGTTCTTGGCAATCATTTTGTCAGAACTAGATGAGGGCTCCTCGAATTAGACCCTGAACAACACTCCCCTGACACGAGTTAAGAGTGACTCAGGACTGTAGTTAGTTCCCAAGGTCTTATGCTCCAACCCCCACCCTGAGAATGCAGTAGGCAGCACAAAAGGAGGGTACACGCCAACTTGTGCATGGGTGGAGAGGGAGCTGACATGGGTTCCCCAAAGGACACAGTTCCCCATCTGGCACAAGAAGGATTCTGCCACAGTAACCTCTTCCTTGGATGAAGGCCATCACCAAGTGGCCTGGTGAGTATGTCTGGGGTACGGATGGAAGGGATGGGGAGAGTTGGGGCGGCACAGGCGGTGTTGTCACGGATGGCAGAAACTCGGGCACAAGTGGTAAGCACCCGCAGACGATTTCTAGGCCAAGAAAACCGGCGACTGCCGGAAAGAGGGCCCGGGCGCCGTCCGTCGGCCCGGCCCAGTCGGGTCAGAGGAGTCCGGAAGGTGCGGCTGCGGGTCGGAGAGCGAGCGGCGGGAACCCTTGGGGCGGAGGAGGGGCTGCAGGGTGGTTTCTGTTGGGGGTCCTTGGGAGGTCGGGGGCGCGGTCCTGGGGAGCCGGGCCGGCCCGGCCCATACTCACAATGCCGGGAAGGTCGGCGTATTTAGGGTCCGCCATGGCGGCGGCGAGGCGGGGCTGGGGAACCCGAGCCTCGGTGGAGCCGGGGCCGGTGGAGACGGATAGGAGAGAAGCTAGGTCCGAGTCCCCGACTAAGGCAAAGGGAGCGGCAGAAGAGCAGGAAGTCTCGCGACAGGAGTAACACAGCCGAAGGGGAAAACAAAAGTCGCGAGAACAGCTCGCCACCACGCCCCTGGAAAGACTGGGGCTGGCGAGAGCGAGGCCTGCGATGAGGTAATAGCAAGGATACGCCGCCTAGGATTGTGGGAAGTGTAGTTCTAGTCCCTGGGGCTTGGCCTGGGGAAGGCAAAAACGCTCTTTGGGAAGATTTTCATACAACTTATTTTCTTTATTACATTAAGTCTGTGAAACAACTTTCACAATTCCTGTTTCTGATCTCCAGAATTTGACTCGATAAAAATCACATGGCCAATCATGTTGTGAAACAGGGCTTCAAAAACTTTAATAACAGAGCTAGTAGAGAGGCTCAAACAGTAGAGCATCTGCCTAGCAAATGGGTAGGTCCTAAGTTCAAACTCGTCGATCTCCAAAAAAAAAACTTAGTAAACAGTGTATGTTAGGAATGGAAAGGTGAAACAGTCTTCTCAAGGTAGGGATGTCAAATAAAATACAGGATACCTAGTTAAATTTGAATTTCAAGTAAACAACGAATAGAGTTTTTGTTTTTTAATGTAAGCATGTTCCATACAATATTCGGGACGTGCTAACACATAAAGGGAATTGTAATTTATCTGAAATTCAAACTTATCTGGGTATGGTTTGTTTTTGCTGTTGTCATTTTTCAAATCTGGCAATCCTCTTAATTTCTTAAATGTAAATGTAGTGTCTTTAAGTCTGTTTGAACATTTTGTGTGTTCTTTGTCATTCACTAGCATAGTTCCCAACTTGGATTTCATAGTTCAATAAAATTAGAACAAGAACAAACCTTTTTTGAGGACATACATGACTCAGCTATTTTTTAATTTTACCAAGTAAGTGCATTACAAATAGAAAACCTACCATATACTATTACCATCATTACTTAGCAGAAAAATAAAATGACACACTCCTTAGAATAAAAGAAAGTTCTCTGAAACTTAACCAATACAGCTTTTTGAAAAACTTATCCCATTATTCTTTTGGGGGCAGGGGCATAGCCACTGAACTTTAGTCTTTGAGCAGAGGGTCTATCTGGTCTGGCCTTTCAAAACTCTTTCACTAAGGATATCACAATGAAGCCCCTGGGGGCTGGAGGTTGGAATATTTCCTGAGCTTGCAAGATGCTGCAACCCTTAGAAATAGTGCCAAACGAAGTGACTGGAAAGTTCCTGAGTTTGGAACTCATTGTCATTCTCTCTGCTTGGCTTCTCCCCAAGCCTCTGCCTCTGTCTCCATAGTCCTCTGCCTTACCATCCAGTTTCTTGTGCTGGGCCCTTTCCTTCCATTTCCTTAAGATTCAAAATGCGTCAGGGTGTAGGTCCAACATGAGAAATCCCATCAGCTGGTTTGTCTGGCCAGGCCATCATCCTCTCACCCTTGCTTCATAGGGTCTAAGTGATCTTAGACACTGACCAGACAATTTCTGAGCAGAACCTCCATTCCCTCCTCCCTTCTTCCATTAGTCTGTCCCTCCCCTTGGCCTAAAGCCTCAACTCTTGCACTCCAACTCTGTTGGCCAGCAGAGGCAGAGGCCTGTTATGTGGAGAAAAATCAATTTGGCCAGCTTCTCCGTGGTTCTGCCCAAGGCCTGCAGCAGGATGTCGACCCAAGGGGAAGAAGGACAAGCTTGGTTTTTAACTTATTTTTATTTATTTAACGTCAGAGAAAGGAGACAAGCAGACAAGAGAGGCTGAGAAAAAAACTGAGGTTGAGGCTCTATCCAAGGGTAACTGAGACAGAAAAATTCACCCTTGCATAGGTGCCTAAGCCTGCCTTTCACTCAAAGGCAGGTGTTTTACCCTAGAAAGGATTTCTGGCCTTACCTATGTCCATCATCATCCCTCCATCGCTTTTGGACTCCCTTTCTCCTGCAAGAGTTGCTCCTGCCCACTTCCATCCCAGCTTCAGGAGGCAAAAAATAACTTGATCTACTTTTGAATGCTCATAGTCCAAAATAGGAGTTTGTCTTCCCTCAAACTGGGGTCCTGGTGTGTGTGTTTTGGAAGTGTAGAGTGCACCTTTGGATGTAAAAGAAGGGTCTAGCCAGACCCTCGTGACACTCCTCCCTCAAAATAGGACCTGGACACTACATCCAGGGGTGCATGCAGCTGCGTTTGAAAGATGACTGGGTCTTCGGTGCGTGTGGCTGGACTGACTGAGGGGGAAATGAAAAGTGTGCTCCTTATCTGGAGAAAGGATTTTGATGGGGGTGGAAGATGCCCTTAAATAAGGGGAATGGAAGCCCTGTTGATGCTCTTTCTTAGGCAGGAGACTGGCCCTCATCAGTCCCCTCATCCCTTTCAGGAGGTGGAGCCTGAAGAGGGAAAAACAGAGTGTGGGGGTGGGATGTAGTGAGTGAGCGGGGGAAGAAGGCTAGGAGAGAGGCCAAGCCCCACCTTTCGGTGGTCGAGGTCCTGCGGATCGCCCCCTGCAAGGAGGCCCCGCCCCCGCTGCTCCGTCGCGCCCCGCCCAGGCCCGCAGCGCGGCTGCAGCGCAAGGGGCGGAGAGGCAGAGCGCGCAGAGAGGACCAGACGCCCAGGTCGCCCGCATCCCGGTGCTGCAGGAGACCCAGCGCGCGCCCCGGCCCTGCTTCGCCGCCTGCGCCCGGGCGTCCCAGCTGCTTTCTCGGCCCCAGCGACCGAGCACCTGTCCTTCACCTCGGCCTCAGCGGAGCGCTGCCTCCCGTTCGGAGCACACACTACCCCCTGCAGCCGAAGTGCCCAGCACCGCGCCCGCGACCACCATGGCGGAGACCAACAACGAATGCAGCATCAAGGTGCTTTGCCGATTTCGGCCCCTGAACCAGGCCGAGATTCTGCGGGGGGACAAGTTCATCCCCATTTTCCAAGGGGATGACAGCGTCGTTATTGGGGTGAGTGCTGCCCTGGGAGGGAATTCAGGGAAGGGTGGGAGGCTAAATCTCCCCCGCTGAGACTTGGTCCCCCGTTTGTCACTCTGTTCCCTCTCCTCGCCACTCATCCTCCATCCTCTTCTTTCCCCGCAGCCCCTCCTTCTTTCCCCTGCATCAGGATGGCTGGGTGTGGCCTGGCCCGGACAGCAGCCAAGTCTCTGCAGAATGGGAGGGGGCTCCTTCCCCTCCATCAGGAGCCCCATCCCCTCCTTTGCTGCTCTCTGCAGCATCCCCACCCCTCAGAGCCAGTCCTGTATTTTTCTGATGTGTTCCTTCTCCCCCAGAGAAAGCGCATTTTTCCTTTGTTATTCACTCAGAGCTGTACCCCCACCTTCCAGAAAGGGAGGGGAAGGCTAGTGGATGGGCTAGATGGGAGGTGGGCAGTCCAGGGTCTCTATGGAGGTATGAATGGGAGTGGGCTCTAGAAGCACACTGTCCATCATCCCCTGAAGTAGTGACAGCCTGGACTTGGAGATGGGGGTGATACAGGTCTGATGAAGGGTTTTCTGGAGAAGAAATACATTGATGCCACACCCAGTTTAGGGGGAGCCTCTGGAAATCCTAAAGACATGTCTGCCTTTCCATTCCAAATACAATAGGAAAAGGATTTTAGGCTTTCTCCCCCACCCCTAAGTAAAAATACCCAAACCCTGATATAGTAATACGTACTTGCTTATTCATCCTTCTCTTGGTGATCCAATAAAAAGTAGCAGTGTACCTCTATCTCACCATGGCAGCCCCTACCCAAGGAGGAGATCTTAAGAAAGAAGATAGTTATGTGTTCTTGTTACTCTCTGTGTGATATTTAATCCTCAAAATAACACTCTGAGGTAGTATTTATATTTCCCTTTTACAGATGAGGAGATTGAGGCCCAAAGACGTTAAATGACTTTCTCAAGGTCATGCTGAGAATCCATAGATCCGTTCAATTTGCAGATCTGAACTCAAATCTGTGGCACACACCTTTTCCTTTGTATTCCATTGTCTCTCCAGATTTCTTTATCTCTGATGGCCCAAATGGGAATTTCTAAGGCCTCACCCACTCTACCTTTGCTGGATTGGTAGGGAACTTTAGGCTGTGTGTGGGGTGAAAGGATCTGGGGTGAAGTCCTATAGGGCTTGAAAGGTGCTGAGCCAGGAAATTGTCACCAGTTTGAGAAGGGAGGGGCATATATCAGGGCAATCCTCAAGGTCAGGGGTGCTTCTTATGTATCTTTGGTCCACAGTGTTTGGCACAAACATCAGAAACATGCTTGTTAAAGGAATAAAGGAAAGGAAGGGGTGTGTGTGCAGGATCTTGGGCCTTCTGAGTCAGTGAAAACTGGACTTTTTGTTAACATGTCTTAGGGAGAGCCTGAAAGTGGGTGTTTTTGCCTTGTATGTGTGTTTATATGTGTGAGTGTGTGTGTGTTTGCCACAGGAGAGGACCTCTGTTTGCTTTGTCTTAGGAACCTCAGACCTTACAGTCTGGCCAGGCTAAAAGAAAGCCTTGGTCAACCCTGGGGGACCCCTTTCTGGGTAACCTGGACAGCAGGCTTTAGCTATGGGGAGTTAGACTTGAGACATAAAGCTGAGCAACAGGAGGGGGTGGTCATGGGGAACAAATCCACAGGGATTTGTTAAGGCTAATTTGCTTGTTCCAGAAGGTTCATCCAGTAAATATGAGCCAGCTCCTTTAGGCTCTCTGTGCCATCCTGATGTGTGGGGTGGGTTAGGGAGTGATAATTGGGAGGCATTGAGGTATTCATCTGTCCAGTCAGTTCAGCTAAGCAGGAGAGATACTGGGAGAGGGAGGAGAGGACCCCTGCCATTCAGACTCTGTCTCAGCTCCACAGCTGTTCTGCCTGATATTTGTAGGGCTATACCTTTGTCTCACTCTGTATCTTCCTTCCTCCAGACCCACCTGTCAATCTCTCAGTCAAGATAATACTTATAGGGGGCCATTTTGTCTCAGGCAACATTCTTGGAGCTTGCCTTCCTATTCAATCGTCATTCAGTCCAGTGAGTGCTACAGGAGGTATGATTTTGAGGAGCTCCTTGAGGGTCCCAGTGAGAGAATGACATCTTCTACCCCTTTTTTTCTAGCTCTCTTTGGGGGCCAGTGTGTGGGGAACTGTCTGAGCATCAGTGGAGGAAGCTGCTTCAGGATATCTGGGAAGGCGAGGGAAGAGCCAAGAGGATGATCTCTCCAGAGCCAGCAGCCCTGCTCCCTCTTCTTCCTCTCTGTAGCACTGTAGCTTGCTAGGTATTCAGAGGTGCTTAGCTCCTGGGCTTCTATCTGTTTGTATAGGGTTGGACAATAAGCTGGAGAGACAACTTTGTGCGCCTTGTTTGTCCCCCACTTCTCTGACTTCTACCAGAGATCTGAGGGATGGGAGTAGATAAGTGGCCTGAGTCACAGTAGAAGGGTGTCTGGGTCACTGTCTGTGTATAGAATATGTCTTGTGTTGTTCTTAGTACACTTACAACTCAGTGTGGCTTTTCTCCTGATCCCATTCAATTGTCTCTCTGCCTTTGTCTTTCTTAGCTGTGTCCTAGTGTTTGCTGTCTAGGCTGCTACATCTGTGCCAGATGTGGGAGGGATGGCAGTGAGGAAGCACATGAACACACACACATTCCCCTTCCTTTGTTCAAGTGTCCAAAGCTATCTCTTTCAGGTCTCCCAAAAAGTTAAGTAGATTCTGTTTATTTATTTTGTGGTACTGGAAATCAAACTCAATCAGGGCCTCTGCACTTGCTAGGCAAGTGCTGTACCACTCTAGCCATGCCCTCAGTCCTTGTTTTATTTATTTATTTTTAAATTAATTAATTAACTTATTTATTTTGGTGATATGTGGGTTTGAACTCAGGGACTCATACTTGCTAAGCAAGCATTCTACCACTTGAGAGCCACGCCCCAGCCCCCCTTGTTTTTTTATTTTTTATTGTTATTTATTTATTTTTTGTACTAGAGTTTGAATTCAGGACCTCTTGCATGGTAGGCAGGCACTCTACCACTTGAGCCACTCTGCCAGTCATTTTTTTTGTGTTGGGTATTTTTGAGATAGGGTCTCACGAACTATTTTCCCAGGCTGGCTTCAAACTTCCATCCTCCTGATCTCTGCCACCTAAGTAGCTAGGATTATAGGCATGAGCCACTGGTGCCCTGCCCCTTGTTTTATTTTTTGAGACAAGGTCTTACTAAGTGTCTCAGACTGGCCTGGAACTTGTAATACTCCCATCTCAGCCTTGAGTACTAGAGGTACAGACATTCACCACCATGCCCAGCTTTGGGATTCTTTGATATCTGAAGGAAGAAGCAGGGTTCTGCTTAGCTTTAGGGGAAATCTCATAAAAGAAAATAGAGAAGGAAGGTAATACTTACTGTGACCAGTGTCACTCCAGCATTACCATGGCAACAATCCCCAGGAGGGTCACCATGGAAATCAATCCTGGTGCTTGAAGTTCGGGCTCTACCAAGTGCTTTACTGAAGGTTGAGCAGGTCTTTGGGTCCCTGATCTTAGGCTCCCCATTAACTTTCGTCAGCACACATGATGAAAAACTACAGCATGGTTCTGGGACCTTTTTTGCACAAATGGACAAGTTGATGACCACGATGCTTAGGTTAAAGGAGAACACAGACTCTGAAGTGAGTCTTTTCCTCTGGAAGAGGCTAGGAGGAGTGCTGAGCCTATGGGCTGGGAGAGAGCTGTCTCAAGGGCATCCCTAAAAGGTGAAGAGACTCCTGGTGTATTTCTAATGGAACAGGTCTTTCAGTATCTGGCACTGTGCCAACTGGCCATGTGTTCTGTTACCTGGAGGTAGGGAGGGTAAGGGAGGGCCTCTGAAAGGATGTGAGGGAGAATTGCATACTTCTGAAAACGGGATTGGGGTTGGACAATGGAAGGGATGAAAGGCTTTAGTTATATATGAAAACACTTGGAGATATGCATTACAGGGGGAGCACATGGGGCAGGGGAAGGAAAAGCCAAGGTAAGGATTGGAGGCTGGGTTGACATTGCAGTTCTTTGATCACTCTGAATGTGTGCCTGAAATTAGATTGTATTAGTATAAAACTGGGCTGTACCGTTTCTCAGCTATGTTACTGTGGGCAAGCTGTCTGACTTCTCTGAGCCTCAGTTTCATCATGTATAAAATGGGAATAATAAGCCGGGTGCCTATGGCTCATGCCTGTAATTCCTAGTTACTTGGGAGCCTGATATGGGGAGGATTGTGGTTTGAGGCCAGCTTGGGCAAATAGTATGCAAGATCCATCTCCAAAAATAACCAGAGCAAAATAGAATGGAGATGTGGTGCCACTTTTTTTTTTTTTTTGCAGTACTGGGATTTGAACTCAGGGCCAACCCCTTGAGTCAGTCCACCAGCCCTTTTCTTATGTTAGGTGTTTTCTTGATAGGGTCTCTTGAACTACTTGCCAGGACTGGCTTTGAACCACGATCCTCCTGATCTCTGCCTCCTGATTAGCTAGGATTACAGGTGTGAGCCACTGGTGCCCTCTTTGCAAGTGTGAAGACCTGAGTTCAAACTTTAGTATCACCAAAAAAAAAAATCAATTCACAAGGGGTTGGGGATATAAACTCAGTGGTAGAATGCTGCCCTAACATTTCCAAGGCTCTGCAAAATATAAAATAAAATAAAAATAAAATGGGAATAATAACCTACCTCCTAGGATTATTATAAGCGTTAAATGAGATAATGAGTATGAACTGCTTAGCACAGTGACAGATACACAATAAACTCTTTTTTTTGGTGGTGGTACTGGGGTTTGAACTCAGTGCCTCATGCTTGCTAAGCAGGTGTTCTATCACTCAAGCCACTCTGCCAGCCCTTTTTTTGTATTGGGTATTTTGAAGATCGGGTCTAATGAATTATTTGCCTGGGACTGGCTTTGAACCTCCATTCTCCTGATCTCTGCCTCCTGTGTAGCTAAGATTACAGGTTTGACCCATGGCACCTAGCC